CATGGATAACTTTCCACGGATTTATATAGTTATTTATACATGATTATATATGGCTTAGCTAATCCACTGGTTATTTTATAATTAATTAAATAAATTCCGGAGGTTGGTCACGGTCGTCATGGTCGTCACGCTCTGTGACAATAATTATAATGTCACATTTGAGTCAGAATAATCTTTTAACAGATCATCAATGTATGTATGTATATGTGTTCCATTGTCCAAATTTAAGAATTGCGTCATTCGCGAATTAGCATATTAAAAAGGCGCGAACGTTATCATATCATTATAGTAACAGACTGAAATAGAATAAATAAAGCACAATATATATATATATATATATATATATATATATATATATATATTACATACAATAACAAGCGTACAGAAGTTTAAATATTTTTATTCAAATATAAATAAGAAAACAAAACTAACATTAAATTATGTCAAGACATTTCATCGAGTGATCAAAGTGAAAACCATAATACAAAAATTGATTTTTGTGCATAATTATTATTCTAAAGGCACAATCTTCACAAAATGTATATATACAGTAGAACTCCCTTAAGACAATTATGCTTAATACGATTTCTCCCACGTTAAAACATATAATACTCATATCTCATTCAAGAAATTGTCTTAACGAAGCTTTTCTATATATATAAATACTTTTATGTTTAATAATATTAATATTTGTACTTTTAATTTACATTGCACACAATATTTTGATTCGATTAGAATAAATTAATTTTGAAAATCTATTTTTTACTTAATACTGGGCTTAAATATATAAATATACTTAAATCTTAATGAGTATTCAACTGTTATAACATATATATATATATATATATATATATATGTTTGTGTATATTTTATAAATAATGTATATATAATAAATATAAATAACATTACAAAGTGATAAATATTATATTAAAACGTTTTGTGTCTTGTTTACTAATTAGAAATTATCATCTAATTAAGTAATAATATTGCAAGATATAAAAAAAGCCATCATGCCACAAGCTATTTAAATTATCAAACACTTCGTATATAAATTATTATTAAAACTAGGATTAAATAAATTATTAACTACATAATTGATGAAAAGTATTCGTATGAATATTATTTATATAAATGCATGATATACGATTTAGTCAAAGACTTACTTATATGTATATATATATATATATATATATATATTATATATATATATATATATATATATATATATATATATATATATTTAATTATTATATTCTTGATACAAAAAATATTCAAAATAAGTCCATAACCAAATGGTACAAGATTTAATAATAAAAACATAAAATCTTTGGGCAAAATATTCATGATTAAATTAATTATGATTAAAACTTAAATAAATATTATAGACTTATATCATTGCCTAATACATTCGATTAGTTTTCAAATACTTATTGATAATTAATTAATTTCATGGTTGTTAGATAAATGAATAGGTTAAATTATTTGATCACACACACAAAAGATTTGTTAATAAAAGTAAATAAGATGATTTAGCTTGATGATTACTTGCATGATGAGCACAAACCATTAATATGTATCATAATAAATATAATTATATTCTCCCTTGCAATTCACAAATACTCTATCTGTACACACACTGTGAATACTATTAAACAATTCTAAAGTCAACAAATTAATCTTAACATCCAAATTCAACATATCGAGAGCCTCTCAAAATCCCTCTCTTTAGCTGTACACGATACATTGCACTGAATCTGTCCATTCTCCTTCGACTCCTCCTGGTTGTTTTTCATGTTCTCCTGCATCTTGGCCTTAGCCAAAGCCAACCTTTGCTTGGCTGCACTCCGAAGGTGATCAAAATTTTTACCTTTGGCTGCATCGGTTTTATCCACACCATTCTTAAGCTTTTCAACTTTCTTCGGAGGAGTCTCTATAGTCTTGGTTTCCAAGGGAGCCCAGCTTGTTGATTTACGTTTCTGGATATTCTCAAACCTCTCATCGACTTCACTGATTTCCAAGCTGATCAGGTCCCAGAAGCCCTGGAGGTCTCCTGCTTTGATGGGGCGCTCTCCTGATTGACCACGACGGAGATCGTCCACCAGGCGCCTGAATTGGGGCAACTTGCTCTTCAGTAAGAGATTTGTCTTACCTAGAAATGTGATAACAGAATATTTTATTTGCCCCAATTTGATCTTCTCCAGAGTGCATATTTTATATTTCAAAGACCGTTAAATATGTATTTTCTACGTGAGACTATTCAAATGTCCATTAGTAGTGGACTGGACGGCATTCTTTAATTAATTCAACGTGTAATACGCGATTGGAATTAATTAAACCATTTATTACCACAATAATAATAAGTTTTGCGGCCACGAACAAGATGAACTGTTAGCGAAAAATAACAGTAACTGCATTTATTGTCCGTAAATATTTGCAGATACATAATTTTATATATTATATATATAATATATATATATATATATATATATATATATATGTATATATATACTAGGTGACCCGACAAACGTTGTCCTGTACCCATGTCTACAATTTTTTAATATAATATACTATTATTTATTGTTTATGTAAAAATAATAATTGTTGTTTTTATAATAAAATGCTTCACTGCTTTAAATAAAATAATGAGTCTCAATTTCCACACTATATTAGAAATTGAAGTCTTTTAAACGGTATAACATAATCATAATATAACACTGGTACTTCATGTTGGATTAAATTAATTTAATTTAATTTATTATTTAAGATATCCAAAATTGCATTTCAAACTTCTCCTAATCGATATCGTGAGGGCCGAATTGCATGTATTCATCTTTACTTTGCCATTTGTTGTTATAAAATGAAATTTTTATGAATTTTAGAAATAATGTGGAAAGAGTAGTAAAAGATGCAAAGAAATTATATATTGAAAAAAAAAACTATATTGAAAATTTAATATCCGAATTTTGTGTTGGCGCCCCCTAAGGCGTGCGCTCGTATTTTTCGCATGCATCGCATTAAAAGTAGGACCGGCCCTGATTAATACTTAATTTCATATTTTAAGTGAATTAATTTGTCATATCCTGTTTATATCGGTATCATTCAATCTGCCATACATATACTGTATTTTATATTATTTCAATTTCTGGCACATCTTAACTGCTTTTTGGCAATAATAATGTAGACATTTCATGTTTCTTATTCATAATCATTCATTTATTTACATATTCTAATATTATCTAGGTTCATAAATAAATTGAAATTTTTGGCAAATGATATTTCATTTTTTCATCAGTTTTCATTTGTTTTCAATGCAAACAATGACATGTTTTTTACATTTTTTCCTTTATATCCCAGTACTTTATAATCACATACATCCTAGAAAACTTCCTTAACAAACTTCAAAAAGATTTATCAAAATTCGAATAATTGTTTAGAAGGAGTATACAATGAGTGCAATAAAGCTCAAATTGATTCTACTAGTGATTTTAGTTAGAAAACGTTTGTATGTGAAGAAGAAAAGGGCAGTTTTTAAGGTTTTCCCGGCAATTATTTATTAATTTAAAATATCAACCTAGAAGATAAAAAGAAGATTCTCCATTCGACTGAAATTGTATGAATTTATGTATATTTGTATAAAAATATTGCTAATTAGGTAATTTAAATAATTCAGTAGTTAATTAAGAGATTAACGTTTCACAGTAACGGCCTCACGTTAGATGAATATGAAAGTTTTCAAGTTTGTCTAACAAATTTGTTGCATTTTTGTTTGGTTAACACATTTTTTCTAATATAAGCATTATTACGTACATATATATATATATATATGTATATATATAATATATAATATGTATGTGTATTTTATAACACTCATTCTCTAATTTGTGATGATGACATATAAACATTTGGAAAAATAAATTCCATTATCCTTCCTTTGCATTATTATTTGATGTTATTTATAATTGTAAATTTGATGTTCGCAAGCATAGATAGAGTCTAATATTCAGGCATAACTCCAACAAATAAATCAAAATTTGCTTAAAAATATAATCTAAAATCTCAATGTTTCTGCTACAGTCCTAAGCATTCATTCAGTGAAACTAATTTTAAAATCAAACTAAAAATATCAAAAGTACTTACAATTTTCTTAACCATAAATATTAACATTTTTTTTAAATCAAGTTTTTTATTGGCGTTATGCTCGAATATTAGACATACAAATGGCATGCTAATATTAATTCTACTGACTGACGATAGAACTAGAAAATATATGAATATTAGCAGAAATTTTTAAACACATTTATGTTTTTTATTGATGCCATGCCCAAACATTAGGTTCTTTTATATGTATATATATATATATATATATATATATATATATGTATGTATATATATGTATGTATGTATATATAAATCTGTGTATAAATCAGTGCAAGTGTGACTCATAACCTTCCAATAAAGAGCAATTACATAAAAACATTTTCATGAATCAATAATCGATAATTCCATATAAAGCCGACGTATTTATATATACATGTATGTACATATATATGTATATATGTACTAAAAACATGTCGTATACAAAAACATGAACATATTCTCACAATGAGTCAGATTTGTTGAAAATATTCAGCAAAAAGCAAAACAATGATTTTATAGTTTTTACAAATAAATTTTATGCTGAACTCATACTCACTTCAAAAATACATTCAGTAAAATATTTAATTATCAATTGAGTAAAATATTTTATTATTAATTAAGTAAAATATACAGTTATCAATTAATTATGAGTTTTAGCTCTAATTTGGTTAATTGATCCACATTGAACAATTAAATAATCTACTCAATTAACACTTAAATATTTAACTCCACTGAAGGTATTTCTGAACTATAATTTTTTTTTCAGAATATTTAATTATTAATTATTAAGTAAGTAACTTTCAGAGTAAATCGTCATCAAAACCAAATACTTGTTAAAAATATGCAAAAAGTACGAAATTAAAGTAAATTTTAAAATGAAATTCTTTACTGAAATAAAACAATAATCTATAATAAAATTAAAACCCAACAGTTGAATATAAGTAACGAATTTTATCATTTTTACTAAATACTTAAATTTTGCATTAATAAATGTTATATATTAAAGATAATAATATATAATAAAATAGTTTCAATATTGCAAATAAATCAAAAACAAAAATTCAAATAGCAATGTTGAAAAATTTACATAGTTTATTTATGAAGTAATAATTGCATAAATATTTATATTACTATTATGCATAGTTTTATAAATATTTCTATTTAAACCAAAACTTGTATATGAATCATGATCAAAAATGATTCGAATTGGAAAACCAAAAATCTAATTAGAAAAAGAAATATATTGAATTTATTCTATTTATTTAGAAAAAAATAAATGATTATTAAATATTTACATTGTTAAATTAAAATATATAAAACAAAAAAATGCTTTAAATTGAGATATTAAATAAACCAATTATGAAGAATGAATATGATTCAAACTGGAAAATTAAAATTTGATTATAAAAATATATTATCAATTTGAACTGTTTATTTTTATGATAATTGCATAATGATTTATATTATGCATTTATAGTTTAATATTTTCAACATAAATACAAATATTTGTGAATGTTTTTTTCAAGCTAAAACTGGTTAGTAAATTACTAATGAAATTGAAATAAAAATTTTGCATTTGAGTCTAATTATGAACTTATGAATAACATGATTTAATATCTGATTATGAAAAAATTTTTTCATATACTTTATTTATATTTTGTTTGAAAAAGGACTGGAAATTGTAGTCGTTTAAATTATATAATTATATTTTTTTTAACAAATGTGTTTGCATTAATTAAATTACTATCTGTGACGTTTTTTTTACGATGTTGATCTATTAAGCAAAAATTTATGCAAGTTCATCGAATATTTATGAATAATAAATAATTTAGAATATATTTATATGTTTACAAGAAATATATATATATATATATAAAAGACAAAATCTGTAAATTGTTTTAAGAAATAGACATGAAATAAAATATATTTATTGATAAAAGTAGAAAGATTTTAAATTTTCTGATAAACTTCTTAAAAATTGGTAAAAATAAATTCTACATCGTTTGAAAGAGATTTTTTCATTGAATTCCACAAGAATCTTCCCAAAAATTAGTAAAAATGAATTCTATATGGATTGAAAGTAATTTTATACTTTTTAAAGGTTTAAATTCTACAAGAAACTTCTTGAGAAATGGTAAAAATAAATTTTACACGTTTTAGTAAAATATTTTTTAAAGTTATAAACTGTTTGAGAATCTTCTGAAGTACTTAGATTCTTATTTGAATATTCCCTATTTTATTATTTTAGAAGACTCCTTATATAATCATTTCAAAGACTCCTTATATCATTATTTTAAAGACTCCTTAATTCACTATTTCAAAGACTCCTTAATTCATTATTTTAAAGACTCCTTAATTCATTATTTTAGAAGACTCATTATACATTATTTCAAAGACTCCTAAAATTCAACATTTATAAGACATCTTATACCATCATTTCAAAGACTCCTTAAATCATGATTTTAATTTCTCCTTATATCATTATTCTGAAGACTTCTTAATTCATTATTTCAAAGACTCCTTATTCCACTATTTAAAAGACTCTATCATTATTTTAAAGACTCATATATCATCATTTTAAATGACTCCTTAATTCATCATTTAAAAGACTCCTTAATTCATCATTTTAAAGACTCCTTAATTCATCATTTTAAAGACTCCTTATTCCACTATTTAAAAGACTCTATCATTATTTTAAAGACTCATATATCATCATTTTAAATGACTCCTTAATTCATCATTTAAAAGACTCCTTAATTCATCATTTTAAAGACTCCTTAATTCATCATTTTAAAGACTCCTTATTCCACTATTTAAAAGACTCTTTCTATCATTATTTTAAAGACTCCTATGTCATCATTTTGAAGACTCCTTAATTCATCATTTAAAAGACTCCTTATTCCATCATTTTAAAGACTCCTTATTCCATCATTTTAAAGACTCCTTATTCCATCATTTTAAAGACTCCTTATTTCACTATTCAAAAGACTCCTTATTTCACTATTCAAAAGACTCCTTAATTCATCATTATAAAGACTCCTTACTCCACTTTTTTAAAGACTCCTTATCCCTCTCTTTAAAGAGGCTCAGTCCTCTCTTTAAAGAGGCTCAGTCCTCTCTTTAAAGAGGCTCAGTCCTCTCTTTAAAGAGGCTCAGTCCTCTCTTTAAAGAGGCTCAGTCCTCTCTTTAAAGAGGCTCAGTCCTCTCTTTAAAGAGGCTCAGTCCTCTCTTTAAAGAGGCTCATTCCTCTCTTTAAAAAGACTCATTCCTCTCTTTAAAAAGACTCATTCCTCTCTTTAAAAAGACTCATTCCTCTCTTTAAAAAGACTCATTCCTCTCTTTAAAAAGACTCATTCCTCTCTTTAAAAAGACTCATTACTCTCTTTAAAAAGACTCCTTATCCCTCTCTTTAAAGAGGCTCATTCCTCTCTTTAAAAAGACTCTTTATCCCTCTCTTTAAAGAGGCTCAGTCCTCTCTTTAAAGAGACTCAGTCCTCTCTTTAAAGAGGCTCATCCCTTATTCCTCTCTTTAAAAAGACTCCTTATTCCTCTCTTTAAAAGACCTCTTACTCCAGTATTTGAAAGATTTCTTATTCCACTATTTTGAAGACTTTAAAGATTTTAATTCATTATTTTGAAGACTCCTTAACTCACTATTGAACAGACTCCTTAATTCAACATTTTAAAGAATACTTACTCCAGTATTCAAAAACTCCTTATTTCAGTATTTCAAAGACTCCTCAATTCATTATTTAAAAAACTTTTTTTCCTTATTCCTTATTTTATATAAAAAAGGTTCCTCGAAGGACTCTTACATTTCAATTCAAATAACTTGTGAATCGAATGATATTTTTTTCCAACATATTAAACAAACAGAAACTTTTATCAGCCTGAAATCTCAAAACAAAGCAAAGGAAGTTTACAGTTCATCCGAATATTTTAAATCACATGAATAACCATAAATGGATATGTGTATATAAATGATAATTTATTACCATGTGTCATTTTTCTGCAGAATTGGGAGAATGTCCCACTTCTGATTCTGAACAATGATTGTATAAAAATTAGCATTTCGACCTTTAGTCAAAACAAAATAGCACATGGCCTAAAAATAAATTATAATTTAACACTTACCCAGCGCGCTCATGATTTCACAGGAAGCATCCTCCGGTATATTTTGTCCAGATTCATCTAAGAATTTCTGCCATTCATTACAAGTTTATCCAATCTCTTAATCGTCGTGTTGAGTAAACCTTCAAAGTGCTCGACTGACATTGTTGCTCAGAGACGCCCACACAATGATAAAAAAACTATTAAATACACACAGGAACTTTCACAAAAACAATCGCAGGAATATATTTATTACACACGACGCCGACTTATTCATTCATAAAACAAAATTTACATGAATCCATCAATTGTATAGTTAACCTTTTTTTGTTTGTTTGATGAGTTGAGTTTTGTTTGAAGCGCGTGTCGGACGGACGTATTATTTGAGGACTAAATGCAAAAATGCAACGCTAGAACGAATTAACACGGCATTTGATATGATGACCCAAAAAGCACAAATAGCTTTGCACGATTTGTGAGCAACTATTAAAGTGTGACTAACAAGACATGTTCTTTATCACGAAACACATGTGGGGGGGACTCTTTAACAATGGCTGACTCCTGTCAGAAATGACAGATAAGGGATAAATGACAGATTAAAGGAAATATATTAACTAATAGATTAATTGATGGATTAATAGTTTTAACACTAGTTTATTTGATATTCCTGCATTTTATAAATAATATATTGCGTTATTTTTAGTATTTTTTGTTTGTCAATAGTGTGAACTGTCAACATGATGTAGCATGTGTACCAACTTTCAAAAATGAATATATTGTGCAAAAATATTTACACACAAATTTAATTATACAAATATTACGCAAAAGAAATAAAATATGATGAAATAATACAAATGTGTAGCATAACAAATAATAAAAATGCTTTATTAACATTTACCTTTTGTTTGTATTTTTTTCTTATTGTGTCAAAGCTCGTAGGATAAAAAAATGGCGCCAAACACACATCATTTGCATTTGTCATTCCACCAAAGTCCTGTCTCTGTCTTTTCTACTTATTTATTACAATTATAAATATGGATTGTGCACCGCCACTCGAACTAAACAAATGTACTCCAGATGATTTCGTAGCAAACCAGGAAACATATTTAAAACACTTGGATAATTACTCCAACTGGGATCAAATACCATTACTAAACCATGGTTCAATTTATTATCCTGATAAGTCCCTGGTGCGATTCCGGGGGATGATTCAGGATATGTATAATCCTGAAATATATCTAGAAAATTATGAAGTCATTGATGCTGGCGGCAACAAGAAAATACTTAGTGGGAAATATAAAGATATAAACAGCTGTGCTGTATGTACACACAAAACCACTTACACATTATTATTACGTTGTTTTTTATATACATTTTTGTTTTAGGATAATGAAAAATTCAATCACGGTTCAGATAAAAATATCAATGGTGAGCGACAGACTTTATTTGTAATTTCTGTGCCCGGTTTGAGCAACTGGGTTTGTGATAACGAGCAAGCAAATATTAAAACTAATAAAACTGTTGCAACAACTGTCATACCTGAGACCTCTGATTTAAAAAGAAACCTGGATGATGATGAGTCACCAATAAGTGAAGATAAATGTTTAAGTCCTCCAATAGCAGACTCTTTGAATAAAATTAAAATCACCACAAAAGATGAAAACGAGACAAAGACATCCTTGGAATACATACTTAACTCACCTATTCCTGATAAGCTTAACAAAGCTTGCATTGTAAAGGTACTTTAACTACCAATTATTTCATTTCCCTTCATTTACCAAACAAATATTTTTAGATCTACGACAACTTTGATAGCTACAAAGTGAATGAGATTGTAGACGTCATAGGATTTTTATCAATAGATCCTGCTTTGGTTACTGTGGGGATGAAAATATGTGCGAGAACCAAGCTGATAATTTACCACCTTCTGTAGTACCTCGTTTGCATGCAATATGCATTAAACAAATTGCACACTGCAATCCTTTGCTTGATAGAACTAAAGCACACTTCGGTCAGTTAATATAAATATAAATATTTGCATAGGACCCTGTATTAAATGTTTTATGATTCCAGATGAAATACCTCCACAAAGACTATCCAACAGTTTTTCTGCACAACCGTTTGAAGATGCTTATAAAAACTTGCACAAAGCCCTGACACACACTTTGTTCGGCGATGAATTAGCAGCAGAGTATACAATTTTTTACTTGCTAAGCAGAGTGTAAGCAAAAGATTACAATATAATCCTCATAGATCCAATTTTTTTCATTTAAAATAATTTATTTTTTATTTCTGTAAAGATTTGCAAGACATGACATCACATTAGTTGGCAGTTATTGTTTAAACATAACAAATTTACCATCTGCAAACAAAATGAAGAATATTAAATTATATTTAAAACATATCTTTGACCTTCTGAGTTCTTTGTTGCCTGTTAGTCATTCCATGTCTTTAACTATTGATGAATTAAATACAGCTATGTTTGTGCCAAAGTAAGTATAAATATTAAACTTTAAATTCAAAATATTTACTTATCAATGTATATATTTTGTGCAGGAAAGATTACAATACGGATCGTTTAGTAGCAGGTCAATTACAATTGGCAAATGGTACAAATCTATTTATTGAAGAAATAAGTTTAGAAGAAGGGAAATTAAATCAAGCTGGAATCATGAATTTGCAAGCTTTGAAGAGTGTTATACGAGACCAGTTGATAAAATATGATTTTCAGTATTATCATGTTGATTTTCAATGTGATATTCCTGTATTAGTATTTAGCGAGGGCAAAAGTATTCTGGATGTAAGTTCAGACAACCAAAATTCAACACACAAATGTGAAAAATTCAATATTAACTTGAATTTGTAATATTCTAGATTAAAAACCAAGTTCCTTTGGAGATAGATGAAAACATCAGGGACAACTTTGAAAATATTTTACCAGCTGTTAAACAATTTTTAAGTAATGAAACTATGGATCTCATTAGATGTTATTTAACAATCATGAAATACTCAGAATTTGAAGTTAATCAGGAATTGCATGAGGTATATATATAAATTATAATTGCATGAGGTTCATTTATATATTTACATACCTGTAAATTTTTCTTATTTCAGATTATAGAAAATGATTTTGTGAACTTACTGCAAGAACCAGGAATGACTCCAGAAGATCTACACTCATATTTAACACTGGCCAGATTGTATAGTTTATCCCGAGGTCTAAGGCATTTAACAAAAGACTCCTGGCAAGCAGTTAAAGATCTTGAGACTAAAAGAAGATCTAGAATCAAAGCACCCAAACACACTGTCGAAATGTGAATGTGTTATAAAGTGATTTCATTACTTGTGATATATTTAACTTTGTTTTTGTATTTATTCTTAACACATTAATCATTGTAATTATAATTTATTGATTACTCAAGATCATATCACTTTTTTCAATTTGTAATTTGTATACTTTTTTAGAATAAATGTTCTGTACATTGTTTTTAAAGATATGAATTACTTTATTCATTCCTTTTATCAAACTTTATAGACTTATTGGCATGTCAATTGCAACAAACTGTTCAGCAATTGTGCAATTGTAATTCATTCATTACACAATAATCTTTTATAGGATCATATTACTTGTTGCATTTGTAATTTCAATACTTTTTTGTAATAAACGTTTTATGCATTCTTTTTAAGCATTTAAAATTGTTCATTGTACATTTTACCAAAATTTGTGCTTGTGCAAAATAAAATGGACGCTCATAAAAAAAATTCTCTATTCAATTGCAATAATTTATTGATTACACAGAGCACGTCACTTTTTCATCTGAATTTTGCATTATTTTTACAATAAACGTTCTGTACGTTCTTTTTGAGGAATTAAAACTGTTTATTATGCATTTTATCCAATTTTGTGATTGTGCAAAATAAAATTGACGCTCATAAAAAATTTTACACCAAGCACATCACTTTTTCCATTTCTAATTTGAATATTTTTTTTACAATAAACTTTTTTCTAATTGTAATTTATTCCTAACACATATTTTTTTTCTTTTAAATATTGTATTATTCTTCCAATAAACGTTTTGTATCGTTTTTAAACATATATTTCTTTTTATTGTACGTTTTATCAAAATATTGCACAATTGTACAATTTAAAATGGACGCGCTTCTGGACATGCCAAGGAGACCAATTTTATTTATATTATTTCACTAATAACTTGATAATGAACTTTTAAATTAATAAATTAACCGTTAAATAGCATTTCAATATTATTGTCTAGGTTCATTAACACACGTTATTAGCAAAAAAAAAACAAATTAATTTTGTAAGCTCTACCAAAACTTTTTACACAACTTACAAAACGCGAGTGAAGTCAGTGAAGTACCGCCCCTTTTGAACATTCTCATTCGATAGATTTTTATGAATTTATAAAATAAATAATTACTTTAAATTCATCATATATAATGAATTAGAGTAATAAATCATTAAAATCATACGTATAACATAATAGTTTAAATGAATTAATAAAAATACAAATAATATTTTCAAACTTTTTGAAACAAGCGCCAACTTCACAGACAGCGTACAAATTTCCGCCTTTTTCACAAATCTCATTGGGTAGCCCAGTTTCAGTTTCAGTCGGTCAGTCCTAGTGCGTTAACGAACAATCCACTACTATAATTCTCACCTCATCAAATTATTACTAAAATGTCTGATTTACCGGATTTATCCAAATGCACTCCCGACATTTTTGTCTCGGAAAGACGCCAATATTTGAATTACTTTGAAAACTACTCGAATTGGAGCAAAGTGCCGCTTTTGAATTACGGAGACGTAAATGTGGAGCACCCTCAACAGTCCTTGGTCAGATATCGGGGTATGGTTCAGAACATGCGGGATACGGAAATTTATTACGAGTACTACGAAATTCAAGAATCTCCTTCTGCATTATTGAAAACCCTGTGCGGAAAATATAGAGACATTCGAATCAAAAAGGTAGGTTACTTTTGTAGAGTCGATGTAATAAATAAAATAGCTAAGCAAACTGTTTTTTTGAAATGTATACTTTTCTAGGATGACATTTTTTTGCCAAATTCAAGCAAAAACTTAAAATCAGAGAGGGAAGTTATTGACTTAGTTCCTGTGCCCGGACTCAACCATTGGGTTATCAAAATGGAACAAGAAATTATGCAAAAAGCAAGCAGTAATTCAGATGAAAATGAGAATAAAACAAGTACCAATTTAGTAGGTACTAAAAAAATAAAAATGGAAAATCAAAATGCATCCGATTTGAAAAGTACATCCAATTTGGAAAGTACACCCGATTTGGAAAATACACCAGTTCTTAAAAAAATTAACAAACTATGCACCGCTAGGGTAAATAACTACATATGCATTAATATATTTTATTATTTGTTACTAATTTGATGTTTTTAGATCTATGATAACACAAAAGATTTCAAAATGCGTGATATTATAGACGTTATTGGATTTTTGAGCACCATCAACAATAATGCTCAAGGCCACATATACATCCATGTGATCTGTTACAAAATACTCTATCATTGCAACCCACTACTAGACCCTACACAACTATTTATAAACAAAAGATTAAGGGGTCGGGCTCCTCGTTCTATTCAAGAAGGCTACAATAGACTACATGAAATATTGACCTATGTTCTATTCGGTGATAGCTTGGCTGCCGAATATGTCATATTCAATTTAATAAGTAGATAGTAAGTATATTTATCAAACCTGTATCTGTTATGCAACAGTATTAAGTGCAAATATTTTTCAGCGATGAATCATCAAAGAGATATGTGCAACCGACATTTAATTTGAATATCGTTAATTTCCCTTCTGAAGAAGAAATGCCTAATATAAAGAGCTATATGAAATTTTTGTGCAACTTTCTCTCAACTTTAGTCCCGAACAGTTGCACTGTAAACTTAACCAACGATGAATTAAATTCAAGGACTTTAGTGTCAAAGTAAGGCATGAAATAAACCTAATTGTTTATATAATAGAATAATGTTCAATGTACTTTCAGGAAGGACTATGAAACAGGATGCCTTATTCAAGGCGACTTGCAATTACCAAATGGAACAAATCTATTTATTAATGAAGTTGAACTTGAAGAAATAATGATAGGTGCAACGGGAGTGAATAATATATTTGCACTTAAGAATATGTTGAACAGATACGTGATCGGGTACGAATTCATGTTCCAGAAAGTTTATCATGACTGCGATGTACCAGCACTCGTATTCAGTAAACAAAAAAGCATACTTAGGGTAATAAAGGATACCTCTATTTATAATTATATATATATATATATATAAATATAAATAAAAATTTATTTATTTATTATATATCTATTACCCAGGTTGCAAATTACATTCCCTTAAAAATAAATGAGAATATGAAAAAACAATTTGCAGAAAATCTACCTGACCCAAACGGCATGTTATTTGAAGAAGCTTTGACCTCAATCAGACGCTTCATAACAATGATGAAATGCAGTCAGTTTGAATTCAACCCAAACATTATTGAAGTATGAAATTCTTACATTATAAATTCTTGTATCATGCCCATATTAATTTCATTTATCTTTTTAAGGGCTTTGGTTATACCGTATTCAATGAAATGATAGATTTTGATATTCACGAGCTATCAACATATTTGACTGTGTGCAAATTGTATAGTATCTCACGTGGCCTGAAGAAAATGACGAGAACATCATGGGCAGCTAGTAGGAAGCTCGAGGAGGAAAGAAGATCTAGACACTCTTATGTATTTATGTGTCGACACAGTGATGCTTTCCATGAAACATAAGAAATGGTCAAAAATGATTTTTTATTAAGGTTGAGAAAATGTTTTTTGTATGTTTATATTTTAATCAGTTCATTATTGAAGTAGTTTTTACTTTAATTGATTAATGAATTTAACTGATGTTTGTTTCTATATTATTTTGAATATATACATAAATATATATATATATATATTAATTTTGTGCAGCACTTAAAACTACAACAAAGAGGAGTGCTTTTAATTAGTTTAGAGATAATAAATGAATTATAAATATAGTTAATCTACTTAGATAACTATTAATTATTTTCTTTTTAATTATAGTAACACTTCAAGTTTTCTAATAAATCTAATAAATAAATTTTAGTAACTTGTTTTATTGATAACTAAGCTAAGAGCATTTAAGTTTAAAGAGATTTTATTAATTAAATAAAAGAAATTACACCCATACCTCGCTTAGCAGAGATTGTATTTAGAAAGATCTTTATTGACTTTGAATTTTTAACCGAGATCTACGAATATAATCAAAGAATTCTACAGATATTATTAGTGATTTTATTTGAGCTTTTCAAATCTTGCAAAATTTGTTATAATAAATCAAGATCTAATCAAATCTAGCATATTTACTTGAAAATTCTATGATCAATAAATACTTTTTAGTAAAATTAATCAAGATAATCAAAAGATATATGTTATGTATAAAAAATTTGAATAAGTATGCTAGATTTCGACAGATTTTACAAGATCTTGATTTATTATACAAAATTTTTCAAGATTTGTATAGCTCAAGTGAAATCAATAATAGGACCTCAATTATACAACATGCATATCTTTAGAAACCTTTGGTGATATTCGTAAATCTTCGTTGAAGACTAAAATTCAATAAGGATCTTTCTAGACAGACAGATATATCCAAATATTTATATTATAGCTCCACAGATTTAAAAAAATCATACTATGTGTTTAGTGAAAATCGTACATGAGTCATATAAGATTTTTTATTTATTTCTTAAGATCCTTTATGATCTAGAAATATTATCAAAGATCTCACTAGTAAACCATGTAGAAATTACATCTTGAATATTTAAAGCTTTCTTTGAGCTTTTATTTTGTAAGATCTTACTTTAAACAAAATAACGCCAAGTGTGGTTTGGGTCTTGGGTGTATATTTAAAATCCTAATTAAATTATAAAGGATCCACCAAATAACTTTTTTTCTTGAAAATGCTTTAAAAAAACTACTGAATACTTTTTTAATTTTTTTTTATTTAAAAGTGCAACCCTTCTGCTTATAAATCGAAAATAATTGTATGACTGGTTGGATAAAATATTATTAATTATGCCGCCATCTAACTGTGTGCTTTTACAAATAACCAAAATCTGGTAGGGAGCTTTTGAGCCGCCATTTTGAGCTATTAATTTTATTTTTTATTATTGCAAAATATATGGCTAAGACAACATCGACGTTTCATTTGAGTTTATTATACACTGGCTTTTCATATTTGAAAAAAATTACATGGTGAACCCTGTATAACTAATAAAAAAATTCAGAGCGCAAGATTATCAATTACAACAACCTTCTTATTGAGCTCACGATTCAAATTACATCAAAGTTCTACACAAACTCTGACAAATAATTAGAATCTCGTTCAATTTCAACCTGGTCTTTATTTTTACCTGTATGTAATATTTTATTCTAATCCTAATCGCGTCACCTGCCTCTTAATTCCCTCTCCTCTCTCAACATAAGCAAAGCCGTTTTGGCCGCATTGTGGTACCTTTGGGACAAAGAGGCTCCGCCGCTCTTCACACGGGGCAGATGACCCGTGTATCCTGCTATGGGCGGGTGCTCCGGAGATATATGCTCTTCTAGGGAAAAAAACAAACAAAAATCATATCTTATATATAAAAATGAATTGCATAATATGTTGGTAAGCGCATAACTCAACAACTCCTGGACCAATTTGGCCAATTCATTTTTTAAAATGTTCGTTGAAGTCCAAGGATGGTTCTTACGGAGAAAAAATCGAATATTTGCCGGGAAAACCCTAAAAACAGCCCTTTTCTTTTTCACATACAAACGTTCTCTAACTAAAACGTAGAATCAATTTGAGCTTTATTATTATTATATAAAGTTCATATTAAATTACAAGCACTCACTGTATACTCCTTCTAAACGATTATTCGGATTTTGATAAATCTTTCTGAAGTTGGTTAAGGAAATTTTCCAGGATGTATGTGATTATAAAGTACTACAATATTGTAGAAATAAATGGAAAAAAATTGCAAAAAACGACATGTCATTGTTTGCATTGAAAACAAATGAAACTATCATCTGCCAAATATTTCAATTTATTTATGAACCTAGACAATATTAGAATATGTATAATAAATTTATGATTATAAATAAAAAAAATGAAATGTCGACATTATTATTGCCGAAAAGCAGCTGAGATGTGTCAGAAATTAAAATAATATAAAATACACTATATGTATGGCAGATTGAATGATACACATATGAACAGGATATGACAAATTAATTAACTTAAAATATGAAATTAAGTATTAATCAGGGTCGGTCTTACCTTTAATGCAATGCATGCGAAAAATACGAGTGCACGCCTTAGGGGGCGCCAACACAAGATTCGGATATTAAATTTTCAATATAGTTTTTTTTCAATATATAACTTCTTTGCAACTTTTACTCATTTTTGCACAATATTTTTAAAATTCGTAAAAATTTCACTTTATAACAACAAATGGGAAAGTAAAGATGAATACATACAATTCGGCCCTCACGATATCGATTAGGAGGAGTTTAAGATGCAATTTTGGATATCTTAAATAATAAAAATTAAATTAATTTAATCCAACATGAAGTACCAGTGTTATGTTATGTTTATGGTTATGTTATACCGTTCAAAAGACTTCAATTTCCAATATAATGTGAGAATTGGGACTCATCATTTTATTTAAAGCAGTTCTACAACTAACATCGCTCATATTATGCATTTTGGCGTGAAGAGTAATTTAAAAAACAATAATTATTATTTTTAACGGAACAGTAAATATTAGTATATTATATTAAAAAATTGTAGACATGGGTACAAGACAACGTATGTCGGGTCATCTAGTATATATATATAAACCAAATATTTCATGTGTCCATTACTCTACCTCTGTATTTGTGCTTCTCCTGGTAGTCCTTGAGCGCCTTGGTGACTCCGTCTCTGCTCCTGACGGGCGTTTTGGCCTCGTGCAGGCGCGCGGTCAGCTTGAGGGCGGGCTCTATGTTCGAGGTGACCCTCGACTGGGTCATCCGCGCCAAGAACTTGGCGTAATTCTCTTCGGCGAGAGGACAATAGGATCGGCCGTAGGAGAAGTTCATACCGGGGACATATCCTAAGAAGATGATAATAATTGAACTAGCTGTAAGTGGAATTCTATCTTAAGGCAATTAGGGCATCGTGCCTTAAGGCAAATTGCTAGAACTTCGCGTACCGCAATTCAAAGTTCGAGTAATTAAAAATAATCAATAATAATAATCAATAAAAGTTGATCAATGATTTGAAACTTTCGAACCATTACATATAACATATTAAATCATTCTATCTTAAATCATTTATTTTGGAATATTTTGGAAATTCTGAGGTTTTTTTCAAAGCCATCGTACTGCTTTAACTGCATAAAAACGAAATATCAAAGCGCGTAAGCGCCGCATCGCCGTCTAACGCGTGAACATTGGTACGGAACCCATAGGAATGTAAACAAAATTTATACTTATTGTTAAAATCTCTATAAAATATCTGTTAATTTGATGTGCATATGTCTAATGATCATTTTTGACCGCCAAATGGCTCATTTTTTTACTTTTTCCTCCATATCTCCAAAGTCGTTGAACCTGCCTATTTGAACAGTTCTTCATTTAGTCAATACAAATAAAATGTTTTTTAAATTATTCAAATCGGACGCTCCGTTCTCTTAAAAACTGAGTTACCGTTTTCGGCACTTTTTGCCCCGTATCTTCGGAACGGCTAGACCTGCCTTCGCCAAAAACTAATCAGCACGTCTCCTTATCAATACGAACCGAATGTTTTTTTAATTATTCAAATCGGTTGATTCGTGTTCCCGAAATCGTCGACGAAAATTTGTATCCGCACATACATACATACACACACACACACACATACATCCATTTTTTTCTACAGTATGACGACTGTCTGCATCTCATTTCACACATCCTAAGTAACCTAAGATATTTTTAATTTTGATGTAATTTATTTGTCTCAACTGTCTATATCCGCGTCGATAATTTTATATTTATGGGTCTGCAAAATGCCTTGAGATAATTTCAAGGAATCATCTATCAAGTCCAAGAAATCATCCCCCGTAGATGTACACATTAATGTAACCGGCCTCTTACGGGCGGGGCTAATATTGTTAATTTAAATTTTTAATAATTTTTATTTAGTTTAAGTTCAGAGCTCAGCATAGAAATACTAACTATCTGATTATATATATATTATATATCAACATATCCTTTTTATAATAAATCTATTAATATCAAACGTCGCATTTTATTTAAATAATCACCGATCACACCAGCAGTTCCATTATAGAACAAATTTAAAAGTGTAGTGGTTAGGATAAATAAATCGACAACACCCTGTTAGGCGTCGAAGTAATTTTTTAAGCTGCGCGCCTTAACAGTAAAGATATCTAAAAATGTTCATTTTTGATTTTTTTGCGATTACTATAACTTGCCCTACGGGAAGTTAAAAAGAAAAAGTTTGTACAGGAATTAGGTGCTAACTAGGTGTATCAGTTTTTTTTGTTATAGAATAATTCTATGCCTACAATAATTCTTTTATCCAAAGTGGGTCGTGTTTTGAGGGAAGCAAAGACAATAGGGTAATGAAGAATGGAGGCGCTCAATTTTTATGTAAAAATCGAATGCAATGACTAGGCGAATAGTGAATATTTTATTCAAAGCTCCGCGAACTCAATTACTCGATTGTAGTAAAATTGTATATTCTTAATGGTATGGGCATGCCGTGCTTCTAGTAGTACTATAACGTGGCAGAACGAACGCGAAATAATATCAAATCACTTTTACGATTTTCCTTACACTAGAAAATATGTATAGAGAAAAATTATATTTTACAATACTTGAGAAAAAATTGAGTCAGGTTTAAATCTTTTTTTTTGAAGTTTTGCATACATGTTTAGTCCCCATCTGTCCCTTCTTCAGTGCGTATCACACCTAAATTGATTTTGTTTTGTACTTTGAAATATTTTGAAAATTGTGAACTTTTTTCAATAGGAATCGAATGTTTCTTAAATAATTCAAATTGATTGATCCCTGTCGACGAAAAATTGTATCCGCACATACAAAATGAATGTAAGTATATATGTGTGTATACATACATATATACTTACATTCATCTTTTCTAAGGTATGCCAAAATGTTCAAAAAATCTCAATCGTCCAAGATCTCAAACGTAAAGATATATATAAAATTTTCATTCCCATTTTTTGCGATTAATATGACTTAATAACCATACTAATAACCAAATTAATAACCATAGAAAGTTCATAATGTATTTAATTAAAAAAAAACTTTAGTTAAATAAAACCGTGCTGAGTTCTGAAAAAAATCCTACTGTAGTTGTTTGTGGTTTATATTAAAATTATTTTAAATAACGTTTATATTAAATATTCAAATTATTTATATTTAGATATATTAGGGTGATCCTTAATATGGACATTTTCGAATTTCCTTGCTCCCATGGGCTTAAATTGTTCCAAATTGATAAAAAACAATTCTCTGAAAGTTTTAGCTCTTAATATTAACGTTTAGATAGAGCGCAATTCAATCAATTTTTGTATGAAAACAGCATGGAAAAAATTTTGAAAATTGAAAAAATTTTTTTTAGTTATAACTTAGTGACAAATGAATTAAAAGTGCAATTTCGTGTCATTTTTTATTGAAAATTTGACGCCCTGCAAAATTTTTGAAATTTTTTTCGTGCTGTTACCATACAAAACTTTGTTTGAATTGCGCTCTATCTGAAAGACATTATTAAGAGCTAAATCTTTCGTAGAATTGTTTTTTATCAATTTGGAACTAATTGAGCCCCTGGGAGCAAGAAAATTCGAAAATTTCCATATGAAGAACCACCCTAATATATACGTTATACAAGAAATTATTTATTCAAACTGATGTAATAGATATTTTTCGTCTTATTTTACAAATTTGTGTGTTTAATTAATTGATGAAGAATCAAACTAAGACTGAAAACTTAGTGTTATAATATTGACCAAAAGTACCAGAAATCTAAAAAGTCCTTAAAAATTATCGTTAAAGATCTTAATCTGGGACAAATACTGCTTTTAAAAAAAAACAGAACACAAAGTGGGCCTTATGGTCATCTTATAGTAGATGAGCTACAATTTATGTACAAATTGACTATAATTTAAACGGTTATTTTGTGTTATTTTTTGAAAAATAAATTTTGAATTTACATTTTTCTTACTGGTGCCGTATTTCTATTTGTCGAAATACCAATACCATATATTGCGCAAGATGTCTTTAGCAAATCTTATAAGATACGGTGGTCCTTAATACGGATATTTTTAAATTACCTTCTTTCCAGAGGCTCATTAAATGCTTCCAATAGATAAAAAAATTTCTGAAAGTTTTAACTTTTAGTATTAACTTTAAGATAGTCCGCACTCCAACAAAAGTTTCTTGGTTCTTCTTCCTAAGTAAATTCTTATTTTCTAAAATATATCAAATTTTGGTTGTAAATTTTTTATTTGTAATCAAAATAAGCAAACACAATGTTATTCTTAAAATTATAACTTATCGAAGTGAGTCAAAATTTAAAAAAACAAATGGAGTTTTACTCATGTTATTACCATAAGAAACTTTTGTTGGAATGCGGACTATCTTAAAGTTAATATTAAGATTAAAAACTTTCACAGAATTGTTTTTTACCAATTTGGAAGCATTTGAGACCCTGAGACCAAAAAATTAGAAAAAAAAATCCATATTAAGGACCACCCTAATATATATACATATAAATAAACTATATTTTACTATTTACCTGTATATCCATGTATGTATCTACCCCTTGTGGCACTTGGCACCGGATCTCTATAGCGATGTTCAGAATCATCTGAAAAAAAAAACTTTATTTATATTTAAATATACCTAAACTATAACATTTTCAAATTATTTAATTTATTATCACATCTCACATCAAATAGAAAGTTCAACTTACATTCTATCAATCTCAAAACCAATGCCATTGGTCAGATGATTTTATAATTAGAGCTTAATTTAATTTTGAGTTTTTAGCTTATTTAGAAAGAAGATAAAAAAATATTGTATAATATTTAAAAAATCTTATATCACCTGTTTCAGGATACCTCAGACCTAGAATTCTTCTGCTAGGCTCGGGTTCTCTATAAGCAGCACTGGATAAAAAACAAAGAATTATTAAAAATTAAATGCAAAAATGTTACATATATGAATAAATATGAATATATATTTATATATGTATTCATATATAGTATTATCATTGCAGAAAATTTGCATTCATGTACCGAATTGTTTAATACAAAAAGTCATGAACACAATAAATTGATGAAATATGAACACATTCAGACAATTACAAAAGCCGCCTCGAGGATCATCCAAACTCAATTTTGCCAGAGAACTATGCTACAACACTATCGGGGAAAATTGAAAAAGAAATTCTTGAAACATTAGTATCAGAAAATTTTGTATTTTAAGTCATTTTTTTCGACACCATGTTTTATACAATTATCTTACCAACTTGTTCAACTATTATTTGGATATTTTGAATTTTAGTAAAAACATTTTAAACGGCATTAATTTTATATAAAAAATACAAAAGCGGCATTAATTTTATATAAAAAATACAAAATTCATCTTATTTATTAAATAAATATTTATTTAATTATTATACTTACTTGACTGCTCCTTTAACCGCCAAATCTTTGATGATGTCCTTAGTGTTCGCGCCGTAACATCTTCCATATCGGAATTTCAAAGTCGGACAATGGCCAGTATAACTATAAAACACAAAAATAAAATATAAAGTGCATTTTTATCGATTTGTTATTATAGTTCAGAGAATAATAAAATATCCAATCGATAATAGAGTTACATATATTTGTCTACTTGGACAATGCCCAGACATTATGTAGTTGGACGACTGCCAAAATATCTGAAAAACTATCGAATCGATATAACAAATAGAAATATATATAATATATATATATATATATATATTATATTATATGTTTGGTATAGAGTTATAATAGTATCAACATTATTATTATTTTTTTAAATTTGTGATATACCTATGTGTCATATCTAATTATTTTACTTTGCTCTACGTGTCTAATTGCAATTTTGAGTTTATTTAATTTTTAATTTTGAGTATTTTAATAATGACTGGTGTCGAAACTAGAAGGAATAAATTTTATCTTAATTATTTATTATTATTATTCGATGCATTGGTTAATCAAATATGACTAATAAATTTCAATGTCGAAAAAACTTTCAAGAATATATACAAAGTATATATATGTACCTAGAAAACGTGTGAGAAAAAAAAAATCTATATAAAATTATAATAAATAAAAATCTATATAAAAATTAATTACTCAGAAAATGTTTTGGGGAAAAAAATTATATAAATATTTATTACATTTATATAAATATTTATTGAATATAATATACAAAAAAATAGTTAAACAAAAAATGTACAGGGAAAAAAATCATACAAGAAAAATCGTATACAAAAATTAGTTACTCAAGAATTGAATTAAGACAAAGTTTATAAAAAAAAATCTTATACAAAGTTATTTATTCAGAAATTGTGCTAGGAAAAAAATTATAATAAAATTATATACAAAAATTCAGTTAAAATGTGTTAAAAAAAATTTAAAAAAAAATTAAATAAAAAATAGTTACCGAAATAAATTAAAATTATTTAACCGGAAAATGTGATAAGATAAAATCCATAAAAAATCATATACAAAATTAGTTATTTTGAAATGGTATTAGGAAAAAAATCATACAAAAATTATATACAAAAAATTAGTTACCTGAAAAATGTGTTAAAAAAAATCAATAAAAATCATGAATAAAATATCCATAAAAAATCATATGAAGAAATTATTTAGACAAAAAAATATATAAAAGGTTCATATACAAAAAATTAGTTGCCCATGAAAAGTCAAATTTTAACTCACATATACAAACTTTATCCAATGTTGGTCTCAAACGATTCAGATTGACGAAGAAATGTGAATTCTTAACTCACACACACAATTTTTTTCCTATTTCGGTGTCAAACTATTCAGAATGACTCAAAATATCAAGTAAACATAAAATTAGCATATAGGATTTTCTGACAAAAACATGAACTTTTTCTTCGAGAAGTTAATCAATAAATTTAATTAGAAAATTAATGACTAAAAACAAATTAGATACTAAAATCAAATTATATAGATAGATTTAACTAAACGGTATAATAAAATATTTGCTATAAAATCAAACAAATTAATCGCGATCACGCAATATGCATTTATAAAAATAATTACTTTCTAAAATTATTCGCATCATTCATAACACATAAAAATACAATATATATATATATATATATATATATATATACATATATATATATATGTACATATATATATATATATATGTATATATATATATATATATATATATATATATTTCCCATCGCGTGCCCATATACAATATATTTGCAAATAAAATGAGCATCGAGCACCAAAAATAAAAACTGAAATAATTGATCAATTTGCAAAATAGCAAAAAAGTTTTTTGCGCGAAAATAAATAACGTCAAGAAAATTTGACAAATTGGCTCGTTATAGAAAAAAGTTTTGCCATTGGCCTAGATTTGATGGACTGGCAGGGATTTATTTACCTTGGTAGAAAAATACCAGACAGGACCGGAGGGTAATAAAAAATCATCCATATTAAAATAATAATTAAAATATATGCTTTAGATAAATAACTAATGATAAAGGACAACTTATCCAACTTATCAACTCCAAAGACAAGTGAGAGCCAAGGGTCTTTTACCTAAGGGTCCTTTATTTAGGCTATGTGGCCCTTCGTATAAGTTCGGTCCTGTGTCCATTCGTGTAATAAAAATCTATATATCCAGTCCATACATGAAATCTTTAGCCATTTAGTACGATTTTGCTATCTAGAGGAGCAGATCGCGTGTCTTGAAATGACAAAGAAAAACGCGAACATATTGTCACATAAACACAATAAATGTATGGCGGTCATGATCCATATCGAATGCATTATGGATAAACAATATGTATGATATATATATATATATATATATATATATATATATATAATATTCTTTCTTTATAGGTCGGTCCTTAATATGGACATTTTCGAATTTCCTTGCTCCCAAGGGCTCAAATGGTTCCAAATTGATACAAAACAATTCTCTGAAAGTTTTAGCTCTTAATATTAACGTTTAGATAGAGCGCAATTCAATCCATATTAAGGACCACCCTAATATCTTATATATAAAATTATTCTGTAACGGAGTATTAAAGATTAATCCTCCTAAACTATTACTCGGATTTTCATAAATCTTCCTGAAGTTTGTTCGGAGTATTTTCTAGAATTTTTTTATTCATAGAAATAAAGTTAGACGGTGGAAATAAATGGAAAATATTACAAAAACCGCTTACCGTTTGACCTTGAAAATATTTGAGAAATAGTTTGATATTAAAAACAAATGAAGACTGTCATCTGCCAAACATTTCCATTGACTTATAGGCTAAGACAATATTAAATTGTATTCCATCTAAAACTGACTTGGTTTAAGAGATTTTGATGGATTCTAGAAAATACCATAACTTCAGTCGGTAAAAAAAAACAATTTCTCATTATTATATCACTGATATTCAAGGTATTTCTGACTAATTATTGTTTTTTATTATTTTTTGTTACACAAATATTGATGTAGTTATGATTGTTTAAAGAGTGCGCGGCTGTCCAACCAGAGTTTCTGATAAAATCAGAATTAAAAAACTTATATTCCAATTAATGCCGAGGGTGATGAAGGAGTGCAAATTGTTTTCACTTTTGAACTTAAAATAATGAATAGCTTATTTCCGACACACGCTTTTTTCCTCTCCATTTACTGTAATAATTTTGTTGATCGCAGGTTGAATAGAGCACACGTGAACATGATTTGACAGATTAATTCACTTCAAATATGAACTTCAGCAATAATGTATATTGAATTATTAGTGAGAAAAATGTAATTTAGATATTAAAAATACTAAAAGTCAGTTAAAATATAATACAAAATTATAAAAATTATAGGCAACATTATTGAAGTTATTATTTTGGGTAGAAAAATCCAAGGTGATATAAATTAAAGTGTTAACTGTGGGAATTGAAAATCATCATTTTATTTGAAGCAGTTCTACATTTAACATCACTCATATAATCGTCTAAATAGTAATTCGAAGAACAGTAATTATTATTTTTAACTGAACGGGAAATATTAGTATAAGATATTAATTAAACGTAGATGTGGGTACAGGACAACGTCTGTCGGGTCATCTAGTATATATATATATATATATATATATATATATATATATATATATAATGATTTTGTCTAATGGTACCCGCCGGTGCAAAAATCTAATCTAATTTCAAATTCGAATTTCGGATCATTATCAGTAATTGCTATAACTAATTCGCAAAATGTCGGAGTTCGAATGAAAAACGTCCATTATAAATTATTTTCAGTTCGAGCTTTTGTTAGTTATGGTTATAAAATAGTTTTAGTTTCAGTTCTTGACTAAATGTTTTGTTCGATAATGGCGAAAAACTAATTTCCGAGAGCGATTAATAGACGCATTACACGCACTTTGGCCAAAGAATTATATTCAGAGTAGATATTGATACGGAAATTCATCACGCGAACAAAAATTTATATATATATATATATATATATATATATATATATATATACTTAGATATAATATATATCACATATATCTTTTCCTCTGGAAATTGGAGCGCATTCTTCCGCCAAGCATGAAGTTTTGGCAGAAAGTGAAACGCGGCCTCGAAATTTGTAATCGAGATCACAGACAATGAAATTAAATACACAATTCAACAAATAACAATAATAATAATATAAATAAAACCATACCAGTTCACTGACAATACAATGCAATTACGGTATCATCATAATTTTTGTTTGCGTCCACGAAAAGAAACACTTTCTTGGAAAAAGAAATCATTGCACAATGGAACGAATGAATAATTTGTTGATGTCGTAATGAGGTTATAAAATTTAATTGTGATTCTGATTTCTAATTAAGGGAATATAAATGGATAATAGAATCTTTCTTTAGAGTTTGCTAATAGATATTAGTAGTTGCGGAGGCCCTTTATCATACATAAACAGTCTAAAAGCCCTTGGGTAAACAATTGTACCAGAGTGGCGCTTAGACTGTGCTTAGCCTGGGTAATTTTTCGAATTTTTAATCCAAAATTACAAAAATATTTTATGGAAAATAAGAAAAGATGTAATAATTTTTTATCCTCAAAAGCAATTGTTTTGTCAATACAAGCAGAAAGTTTTTTAGATCATTCAAATCGGACGCTTAGTTCACTCAAAAACTGCCATTTTCTGCACATTTAGCTCTGTATCTCTTAAACGGCTAGACCTGCCTTTTCCAAAATCTAATCACCTCTTCTCCGATTCATTACCAATTGAATGTTTTTTAGATCATGCAAATCGGATACTCCGTTCACAAAAACTCGATTTCTATTTTCTGCACTCTTTGCTCCGTATCTCCGAAACGGTTGGACCCGCCTTTGCCAAAAACTAATCAGCACATCTCCCTATCAATAGGAATCGAATGTTTTTTGAACCATTCAAATCGGTTGATCCGTGCGCCCGAAAACGTGGACGAAAAATTGTATCCATACACACACACAGGCCGGCAATAAACACATACATTTTTTCTGAGGTATGCCAAAATATTCAGAAACCTTCAAAACGTGAAGAAATGTAAAAATTTTCAATTTCGATTTTTGGACGATTACAATAACTACCTTACGGAAAGTTAATTAAAATTGTGGACAAGAACAAATTACTTAAAGGGTTGGCAAAAATTCACTCTGGGGCTAACTATATCAGCCAATTTACCATCCAAATAATAACTAAGAATCATCATTGGAAAACAGTACTCTAAAACTTTTCCTCCATCATAATATTAATGCTTTAGATATAAAAACCTAAAGCTTTTTATTTCTCCTTAAAAACTTCCCTTTCCTTGATGTTTTTTCAAGAATTATCCAATAAGTCACAGTCTACCCACGATATGATGTTCAGAACAATAAAATAAAATTTAAATCATATTAGCATATGTATATATATATATATATATATATATATATAAATGTAGACATTCCCTAGGGATACCGTCTCAAAATTTGATCGATACATCACCTGATCGTCTGTGACGTCACGGGAGCACTTTCCTTGATTGGGACAACTAACTTGCAAGAAAAACAAATTTCCTTACAACCTATATATATATATATATATATATATATATATAGCAGCAAAATAAATCAAGGAACTGCAAGGAATAAATTTTATTTGCCGCAAGAAGAAGAGGCAGCGTTAATATTTAATGTTAAGACGAATTCGTAGACCAAAACACATACGTTTATGTCAAGTCATATATCACAAAAGCTTTTACTCTAAAAGTTTCTTTCCCTGAAGATTTGTCAAACCATCCTAAACATCCACTTAAGTTTATTACTAATTTTAATAATAAAGAAGAACACTGGGAAGAACATATAAGAACTTAATTTAACTAATTTTAAATATTCTTTATCAAGAAGATGTATTTGATATTAATAATATTATTTTATATAAATCTTTGGTTCACCACTATTTTTTTTATATTATTATAGATTTTTTGGTCTCAGATTATTATTTCTATACTGTATTTTATATATTTTTTGGTCTACCATTATTTTTTCTATACTGCATCATAGACTTTTTGGTGACCCTTTATTTTTTCTACACTGTATCATATATTTATTATATTAATTTTATTATTCCCTGAAGATTTGTCTACTTAGATTTATTAATATGTTATAATTTTTTTTTAACTAGTTAATAATATCAATAAGATTGTAACTACTGTTCGCGTTTTATAGTCATTTGTTACAACTTTTCAAAATTCTCATAGAACCTCTGACCTTAAGACCTATCTAGAACTTCTAATTTTTCTCAAAAATTTTTGTTTGTTTTTCAAATTTTTGAGGAATTTAAGCATCTGTAAGTTATCTGGATAAAATTTTAGGGAACTGAAAAAATTCAAAATTTGGTCCCTCAAGAACTCTCCTTCCTCTGCAGATTATTTTAGGACCTTTCTAGCGCTTTTAATCTTTCTCAAGATTTTGTGGTTCAAATTTTCAAGGAGAAAGGTCCTTAAGGAATGAAATTTTGAGGTTTTTCAGTTCTTTAAAATATTCACGAAAAAAATCTTGTTAAAGTCAGAAAATCTTTGATGAAGAAAACTTGAAAAACCTTTCTATCACTGTTAATCTATCTCAAGAATTTTTGTTTGTTTTTCAAGTTTTTGAGGCATTTAAATAAGGATCGTTAATATTTTTCTCGGAAAAAATTTAAATAACTGGAAAAAACTCAAAATTTCGTCCCTCAAAGACTCTCGCCTAAAGAAATTTTTAAGACCATTCTATAGCACCTTTAAGAATATTTGTTTGTTTCTCAAATTTTTGAAACATTTTAGCAAGGATCGTTTTAAAGCACTGAAAATTTTCAAAATTTCGCCATAAAATCACAAAACCATAAATTAATTGTAATTTAATCATTTACTAAACTTATTTTATTATTGCAGTCTTTCAAACCTAGAATCTTCATTTATATTTTTATTTAAATATCAGTAGCACTAAATATTATTTCGAGCACTTGCCATTAGTATTCTAAATAATTATTATTTAGAATTCACTACTGTAATTTATAATCATTTATGTATATAAATTTTGAAATTGTTGAAAACATTATTCAAATAGCTTTATCGATATATACATATATGCATATTGATATATAAATGAAAAATAAATGAATAAAAACACTAAGTTTTTTTGAACTAAATGAGTTCCATCATCATGTTTCAAATCATTTAATTAATTTTAATTAATTAATTAATTTTAAATATCACCAGGTATCATCAAGGGAAGGGGTCCAAAAATCCTTAGAAATTGCTCAAATGATTAATGGTATGGCCCTCTAAAGTACCATATTAAATCCAAAAATTCTAGATCAAAAAACCCTTATTTTATTCCAGTTTAAAAATTCTGTACCTCCTAAAAAACAAAAAAGGGGGTCTAAAAAACAAAAAAGTTTGAAAACCTATTTTTTAGAGGGTAGTCTTGTTATAAATATACATATTATGGTCAAAACTTAAATGCGTATTTATCTTTTAATATTTTGTAAACATATTTAGGCAACAGTTTATTTCTGTCGCCAATTAGCGTATTAACAATAATTGTGTAATGTAATGAGTACATACAAAGTTCTGTCGTAAACATGAATATTAGCACATTAACATTACAACAAATGTATATATATATATATATATATATATATATATTTATATACATGTACATATATTTGTATACATTCTCTTCCTATATTGTTATAGGCAAACGTGGGACAGGATGCTAAAATCGATTATATTGGAAAAATAGGTGTGTCCCCATAGATTTATTGCTAATTGTCAGCTAACATCAACATTAGCACGAAAAATAGCAATTCAATCACGAACACACATTATATAAAAAATGGAGTAAAAAAATAAAGACTATATAAAATATAGATGAAACATACATATCAGAATCTAAAGTTTTGCCAAAGTTTTGCTGAGTTTCGCCAGAAAATACGATTTGTTAATTTTATGTCTCAAGTCATTCTGAATCGTTTGATACCAAAATTGGAAAAAGTCTATGAGAGGCAATATTTAAAATACCGTCGATGTTTTCTCCAAAAAAACATCGAAAATGTAAAAGCCATTCATTGAAACTTAATAAAGATTATATACATTTCTAATTATAGTACAAATAATTACCAAAAACCATAACTACAATATTTTAACTATTTTTTTTATCGACTTACCCTGGAATTAAGCTTCCATAAGTCTGTGACAAAAAATCATTCCTTTCTGGGGTTGTTAGGTCGACGAACATATTTTCTTGTAGAATTTTTCAACAATGTAAAAGTATCCTTAATTCTCTTTTCATAAATAAAAGCAGATACATTTCTGGAAAAAAGAAGCAAACAAATAAAAATATTATAATAATTGTGAAATGGCTAGTCTAATATGCGCACTAAAAAGTGGGCACATGAAATTATTTAACAAATTCAAAAATAGATACATATTAGAAATATATTTTAATATTTTTGATAAATACTTTTAGGAATATAAGCAAATATAAAAAGGTGTAACTGTGAATTTTTATTATCAATTTTATCATTTTATGCTTGTTTTGTAATTTATGAGATTTGTATGAATTTTATGAATATTAGGCTTAAAATTGCTGTATCATAATATGTTACACAAAATTCCATACATTCCACTAAAATATTATTAAATAAAAGTAAAAAGCGTGTCGAATAAACTAAACAATTTAAATTTTATTACTAATAAAAATGTCTTTGAAAAACAAATAATAAATATGATTAAAAGTAGAAGCAATTGAGTAGATAGATAATACAATTTAAATTCAGATTCACTTTATATAATAAAAAATTTTTAATAATAAATTAAAACTTTTAATAATCAATTAATATGTTTTTTTATTAGTAGGAATATTATTTATAATGTGGTTTGTACTCCATTGAATTTTATAAAATTTAAGCACATTTTTAATATACAATTTATGTCTTACACAAAATTCCACATACATTCTTTTAAAAATTACCAAATAAAAGTAAAAAGCGTGTCGTTTGTACTACAGAATATAAATATTTGAAAAATGTGTGAAAAACTCTGTGTAACAAAATAATAAATAAAATATTTTATTTTGAAAAAAAAATATAAAATTCTTATTAGAACCTTGCGAAAAATGTATAAAAGACACAAGTTAAGAAAATTGATAATTAATAGAAAAATGATCCGTATTTGCATCATTAGTAAATATTATAATTATTATAAATTTCAATATAAAGTATTATTAAAAAAAATTAGGAACGTCTTGCATTGTGTAAAACTTACAAACAACTAAATGGTTATATTTATTTTTATATTTAAATTAAAATTAAAACATTAAATAAATTACACTTTTCACAAATATGATTATTAATCAAGTTGTCCATAATATGTGTATAGTTTTTTAACAGTTTTTTCGTGGAAAATAAATCAAAATGTCTATTACTTTGTAAAAAATTGTACTTTAAATTTAAAGTTCTAAATCAGTGTTTTCCAACCTGCGGAGCGCGTATTGGCTGTTTTTTAAATAATTTTTTAAAAAAATTCCATGAAAAATAAATAAAATTTTCTATTACAGTGTTATTTTTTTAAATTCTCAATTCATATGATAATTTGAATATATGGCAATTTTTTAAAAAACCAAAAAGTGTATTAATAATCATAAATGAATTAGTAAAAAATGTTTTGTTTGTTTTTAACAATTCCTAAGGAAAATGACTCACTACATGCATGAAACATAGAAATAATTATAAATGAAAAATGATATAAAAAAGCTTTATATAAAGGCTTTATTTAAAGGCTTTTAGTTAAAATAAATTACAAATAATATTAGCTAGCCACACACACACACATATATATATATATATATATATATACATTATTATTATTATTACTTACACATTATATCCTTGTACATCTCGTTCAAAAGTCCAAGTCCGAATTGCACAAGAAACTTCTACATAATATCACATGAAATTAAAAGGATATGATATCCAATCAATTCGATGTTACTTCATCAAAAGTTGTTTAGCAACTGAAAACGATTTCAAAACAACTCTCGAGCGATCCGTTTGCTCGCAATATAAATGTATATATAGAAAATTGTTCGTGTGTTTGTGCAAACACTGCCGCCATCTAAAATTGAACTCTTTCAGGATAAAGAACATAAAAATAATAGATAGTTAATAATAATAATAGATAATAAGTTATTTAATTAGAAAATAAGTATTAATATATACCTGCATGGTGTTTTTTGTGTATCTGTTAAAACTTTATTGAAACCAACTGACAGTTGACGCCATTTTGAATTTGCACAAAAACCAAACGAACAAAAATTTAATTAATTTCATCAATAATAAATATCTATTAAAATAAACATTATGAAACATCAGATTGAATATAAAATGAACACTATTAAGTATTTGATCGCAAATTATAAAACACTTGTTAAATAAAACGATTACTTTGAGCGTTCTAAAAATTACCAACGTCTTTACGCCATTTAAACAAGAACATGAATAGAACACATTTAAAAAAAAATCTCTATTATTCTTGCAAGTTTTGAAAGAAAGACACTTTTATATTTAAACACCACATATTTAATAATATTTAGTAATAATAAGGATAATTTAAACCTGATTTTATATCAATTACGTCCTTGTGCAAAACTTTGTTATAACCGACTGACACATTTGCGGACGCCATTTTGAACTTGCAAGAAACCAACATAACAAAAAATAAGTTGCAACAATTAATGGTAAAATTTAATCAAAATAAACACATAAAATTGAATATAAAAAGAATAAATAACAGTGTTTAATTATAAATTTAAAAAAAAAACACTAGTTAAATAAAACAAATTTTGTAAAATTAATAATAGCATTTTAAAACTTACAATATTGCTAAAGATGGTAACAGTGCATTCTACATTTGTGCTCTAACTTTAAAATTTTAATTATATTGCTTGATTTTTCATTACAAAAAACGCAAGTTAGTTTACTTAATATTATGATTAATATGTATATTTTAAAATATATATACAGCACAAATATTGGTTTTTAAAAGTTGTATTTAAACTTTTAAATTTGGCGGAAGTTTATAATTAGTACAAGTACAAACTTCAGTCCTGTTTAATAAACGAGTAAAATCATTTACAAATTAATATAAATATTAATAAATATAAATATTAACAAAATATATTAAAGGCCTACAACAATCTACGACCTTGGAAAAAGTCAACAATCTTTAGGATCTTTGCCATCATTCTGCAATTTTTAGAAAACCTCTAAAGGTTCGTAAGGAAGACTCAATAAGAGTTCTTTCAACAATCAATGAGACCTTTATTGAAAAAACTTATAAATTTTTTGTGGAAAAGCCCAACATCTTTCAAGAATCTAAGACCTTTTTGGGAGAACTGATTTTGAAATTTCACCTTCTTGAATATTAAATTATCAGAATTCTAAGAAGATCCCTAAGACTTCCAGAAAAGCTTTTTGCAATAATCTTCAAGATCTTTGCCAACATCCTGCAAATTTAAGAAAACCCCTTAGAAAAGACTCGATAAAACCTCTTTCAACAATTAATAAGACCTTTAATGAGAAAACTTGCAAATTTTGACCTCGATACATACTAAATTATTCTAGAAAATCCCTAAAGCTCCAGAAAGGCTCAAAAACTCTTTTCAAGAATGCATTAGAACAACTTACAAAAATGCTACATTTTGACCTTTGTGATTAACTAAACCATTCTAAAGAGACTTCTGAAGGTCCCAAAAAGATCATTTCAAAAATCTATTAGATTTTCATTGAAAGAACTTATGAAATTCACAATATATCAGGGTACAAGCAGGCCCTTTTAAGGTGATTTCAGAAAGGCTTAATATTAGTAGATTATTTCAAGTACTTTTAAAATCTTCCTCAAAGGAGCAATCTGAAATAATATTAGTAAAGCTACTCGATAAGCAGACACCCTACTAAGGAGGTTCTCGAAAGGTTTAGTTGATCCTTACAAGTACCTATAAAATCTTTCCTTTAACTTTTTAATATTTTATATATTTCAGGTTACTAAAGGTGCTCTAAACATATACCCCTAAGGCTGTTCTAGAAACCTAAGGGAGTTCTAGAAAGTCCTAATGTGTTCATCTTATACACCAAAGAATCTATTACCATAGAAGAACTGAAAAAAATCTCAATTAATCTTTACAAATTTTTTATGTTACAAAAGGTGTTCTAAGCAGGCTTAATGAATCTATTACAATTTTCACCTGTAAAACACAAATCAATAAAACAAACCGAATGTAATTTTAAACCATTGTTTATTATAATACTGTATTACATACAAGAAATGCACCTTGATGGAAACTTACAGAAGAGTAATTGTTTTTTTTATATTTATAAATTTAACATTAACTTTTACTTCATTAAATCTATTGCTCTTTACTAAACTCGATTAATTCCATTGGAAAAGAAATTCGTACAAAAAGAGTAAATGGTAAATGAAAATTGTAAAAGATAATTTCATTATATATGATAATGACTTAAATTTGTTGCTAACATGGGGTTTTATGAAGTACATGTGTTCATAAACATGTAACTGTAATTGTTTCCATTTATTTTAAATTACAGTTATAAATTCGTCAAAATCTTCACCCGATGATATCACAAAAACGACTTATAAAAAATTATTAAAGCAAATATTGTTTTTACTCTTAGACCGCGGACAATGTGCCATATTGTTGTAATGGATTTTTGATAGAAATGTAGCTTTACAAAAAAAAAACCCTTGAATCGGTATTTATTATTATTAAATCATCAATTTGTGTGATTTGTGTGCTTTACAACTAAGCTATATTTCTGATCCAAAATGCAATACTCGTACAGCTTTTTAGTAATTACTTTTAATTAAATGGAAAGAACGCTTAATGTTTCTATTTTCTAGCATCGCCGTTTTACACGAGAAAGGCAGGAATCACAGTTTCACACATTTTTTGTTTTTTTCGTAATTAAAAAAAAAAAAACTTACAAGACACATTTCATCAATATCGTTTCGATAAAACTTCTATTAATTTATATATATATGTATGTATATACAACAATATGTAATAAGCGTAAGAAATGTTAAATAAAATGACAAGAAACGAAAACACGACGACGTCTACATTACTCATTTTTTGTTGTCATATAATTCTATATATATATTTTTATATTTAAAATCACTCGATTTAATATTTTCTTGTTTTCATCAAGCTATTAAAAAAATATTTCTTACCGCCGAACTAATATAGCAAACGTACTATCTTTTAGTTTTTAATAATATAAATATATAATTTATATATATATTTAGTAGTCGGAGTAAGTCTTCGAGATCACAATAAATATTATCAATTTTTTTCTTAGCTTTTGCACGTTTTGGCAAAAAATCCCGAATTTTTTGAGAGAAAAAGAAAATAGCTCAAAAATATATCAGTCTTATTTTAATATTTTTCAATTAATGAAAATATTTCGTTTTATATGTTAGAGAAAATATCACAAGATTTTTTTTATATATATCAATATCGACACACTTTACTTGTAGCGCTTTGATTGATCTAAATATTAATGAAATAAAAAATAAATAAGTGAAAAATATTGTACTTTAAATATCTAAATCAGTGTTTCCCAACCTGTGGAGCGCGTATGACTGTTTTAGGAAAGGTGCTAGTATTTGCAAAATAGCAGTGTCAATGAACCAGAAAAAATTAAAAAAAAAAAATACTTTAAATTAAACAAAGGTCTAAATCAGTGTTTTTCAATCTGTGGTGCGCGCAAGGCAGTTTTCAGAAGGCTGAAACTGTTTCCAAAATACTATTTTTGAATACAAACCAAAAAAAGAAATATATAAAAATATAAGATTGAAGATACAAGAAAAAATATTGATAGAAAGAATGCCAATTTTTACAAAATAAAAGCATTTTTTCTATTAATATTTTTTTTTAAACAATATATATCAGTTGAAAATTTATAAAATCATATTGCTGGAGAAATTAAAAAAAAAAATTAAAACGCAAAAATTTAAAAATGAGGGACCGCGGTGTAGGAAGATTGGAAACCACTGTTAAACTAAAAAGGAGTTTCCAACCTGTGGGTTGCGAAACAAACCAAAAAACAAGAAAAAAAAAAGTTACTGCCAGAAAATTATGATTATGGGAGCGCCAAAGGGTTGGAAACCACTGCCCTAAAGGTGAAACAAAAATTAATTTATAAATTATTTAAAGTACAATTAAAATTTTCTAACATTCACAAAATTGCACGTCAAAACCGAACGATATTTTCAAACAATAATAAATTAACAACGGACTTAGCAATTATAAATATTACAGCTCACTACTACAAATTACATATTTTTATCAATCATATATATATATAGTTTTGGTTTAAGATATATAACAACAATGTTTCTATCGCACATATCATTAAATATACTTTCATATGCGACAAGACAAGTTTTGCATTAAAAAAATATATGTTACTAATGACAATATTTAGAATCACACTTGAAGACTCCTCCTCGGAGCCTCCGGGGGGCGCGAGTAAAACAACAATGTACCATTTGCACCGCATGTGTCTTCCTTTAAAACCGACCTTTCCCTTGTATTTTGACAATACTCGTTTTACGATATTTAATCTAAGTTTTTAATTAATAATCATTCAGAAGAATTTCGTTTTCTATCGCATATTATATTATATGTTCAGATTAATAAATTAATATACAAAACAGGAAAAATCATATAAAAGTCTTCCTTTTCCTCCTACACAAAATAAATGTGGTTAAGTCTTTCTCGCGCATTTGATACTTTCATCAATCTCACAATAATTTATCATTGTATGCTTTTAATTTTTGTTTTTAATATTTATATATATATACGTTTCGTAATGCAACTACTAATCTATATTTCAGAAAATGATTTTTGAGCAATCAAAGTCCTCGATTGCCACCAAAGCTAACAACTTTATAAATCACTTTTTGTTTTGTTAACTCGTTTATATAAAGTCAAGATGACATATCACAGATTTAGTAAGACCTTTAGTAAAGGTCTCGAGTTTAGGTTTACAAAATTTTGCACAGGTGCAAAAAACAATCTAATTCTGTAACTTCTCATTAACTCCTATATATCGTTTGCACTTTGTCTGTGCACAAATTGCTTTATATAATTGATTGCATTGTAAAGGATTAATTATTTAAAATTAAATTGACTTTCCATTTTCAATCCTTAATATTCTTAAAGAGAGCCCCGGGGGAAAGCATTTGGCAAAACTTGAGTATATAAAAACATATGCTCGTTTAATAATTTTTTTATCCTCTCTAATAAATACTTTAGTACTAAGAAATGTATTCATATATAGGTTGCAATAAAGAGATTTTCTTTTCACAGCCAAAACAAGATTAGTTTCTGTTATCTAATCGATTATTACATTAACGATGAGAACTTCTTTCGTTCACTCAGTTTTCAATGGCTGCTCAAGCGACTGAAAATACGTATATATATGTAGATAGGCTAAGTACACGAGGATATACAGAATGTATCCAAACGCTTAACGTTATTATATTTATTTATCAATGATATTACTCACTTAGTATAATATAATATAATGGTTTTAGTAAAGGAATCAGAGCGCTCATCACAATATCAACGCCAAATTTAAGTTGAAAATCCGCTGCAGAGAATATTTGCAAAAACAGATCTCAACTTAAATATACTATGAAAGAATAAAATTTTAATTTTGAAATAAAAATGTGATGCTACACCATAAATGCAAACAATGGGTTCGATTCTCGGATAAAACAGAAAATGTTATAGAAACGCATGTTACGGGACCAACTTCGTCAAAAAGCTATGAATTTGATGTGCCATCAAAGATTTACATATAAAACCTAACCTCCAAAACGCACAAACGACAAATAACTTTGTCATAGGTGCAACCTTTTGATGTCTCATTGATAACACATACATGATGTTAGGTTTTATTTATAAATATATAGCTTTTTGATAGATAGATCCGCAACGTAGCATTACAATAACATTTCTCGTCCACCCCCATCAAAATAAATTATCTTCAATTTAAAATTAAACATGGATAAAATGATCTTATCCTTACAGTTATATAAATACTATGAAATTTGGAATTTTTCTCTCGAATAAAAAACATCTCAGCCAGCACTCTATATGAAAATGATAAAATTTGCTCAACACACACCATTCATATTATTTATTTATCATTGATCCGACCGATTTAAAAACTAGAGCCAGATTCGACTTAACTTATGTATCGACCAACTCGCTAGAGAAAATTTAAGGGGTAACACCACAGTAAAAAAATTAATATTAACAAGTTTCATTGTAAATAAAAACGATAGCTTCTAGTCTCTCAAATCCACAAAAATAAGTCATTATTAAGCATTTATGTAAATTTATTAAGTCAAAACTTAATTAGAGACTATTATAGATTATTAGATTAATATTTTACAAATTGTCTAAATTTTCAAGTCCAAACATGGTTTTAACAGCCAAAATAAGGATGCTCTAGTATGAAACTATTAAATGGGAAGAAAAAAGAGACATATGCACTGTTAAAAAGATTACAAGTTTAAAAACAATTAATCTTGTCGAATTTTTCATTTAATGCTCAATAATAACTTTTCGAGTCTGTTACTGTGGTGTTACCCCTCAAGCCCCTTATCCCAAAAAATCCCCCTTATACACAGCATTCGCGCGGTATACATATAAAATATCTCACCTTCAACTTAGCAATGATAAGCTTTCGACTACCACAAATACAGTTAGCGATTAAAAACTGTTTTTTTCTTTTGGAAAGGATTTAAAAGAAAAATCTTAGATCTAAAATTATAATAATCGTACGCAGCAGATTATTGTAGAAACATTTGAATAAATTATTTATCTGCTATATGTATGAAAACATTACTCGTTTTACACCTTCTATTAGTTTCGTGCATTTCAACAGCATACAACACACAAACTAAATTTCTACACATATACAATAAGTTTTGAATTTCATATTTATAATATATATACCCTTACACACTAAGAAATCTGTATCAAAACCAAAAATTAAACACAAATACGTAATTATTCAAAGACGACGCTCGATTTTCGAAAAAGATAATAAATCAAGCCGTCCTCCTTCTGTTCAATATGACAAACAGCTACAGTTGGAGATTTTGCAAAAAGAATGTCGGAATGTGAAAATAAGTTCTTGAAAAAATGACAGTCCTAACTAAAAATAAATCTAATTTCGTTTGATGACTAAACACAACTCAATAAAAGCGCACGATGACATAAGTAGAATGAAAACTATTAAATTGAACCGAAACGATCGACATTGACAAACTGAAATCGTGCGCCTTTGGTACGATTTTGTTGCAATGTTTTATTGATAACGAACAAATAACATCACTAAACACTAGAAAAGATTTCCAAAAAATTACATATAAACTTAATTTAGGTTGTAGGTTGGGGGCACACAGATGGACCACCATTTGCCGCCTTCTGTCTTGGATAGAAATAATTATCAACTTCCAAATTTCTTTAATTTAAATCTTGACGACTTTTATGAAATCTCATCAAGATATTTAATTTAATGTTAATTATAATTTTCAGTTTCATTCAACCAGCAACTGCCCTTGTTTTTTTTTTATTAAAATTACCGTTTGAAAAGTAAATGTCACCAGGAATAACCATTTTACTGTCAAGTCATCAATTAATTAGCTGTTAGTTTTTCTATAGTACTATTTCACTTATCTTGTTTGTGAAATAAGCAAATTGTCTTGCTTATTGTTGAACTGCGGCCGTTGGAGGGGCAGCCGTGTACTGGTGGTAATAGGCCGCTTGCTGGACAGGAGCAAATTGACCGTACGGTACTGATGGAGGTGCCATTGATTGGAAGGCACAGGGATTGCTCTGAGCACCGCGACCGGTCTGGAAGAATTTGTTGCCTGGAAGGTAAAAGGTAGAAGATTGCTTTTAATATTCTTCTTGGACAAGAAAATTATGGAAATATAATAAACAGTCTTGAATTTATATTAAAAAAAAAAAAAACAGTCTTGAATTTATATTAAAAAAAAAAAGTCTTGAATTTATATTAAAAAAAAAAACAGTCTTGAATTTATATTAAAAAAAAAAAAAACGGTCTTGGATTTGTATAAAAAACGTGTTGAATTTGTATAAAAAAACGTGTTGAATTTGTATAAAAAAAACGTGTTGAATTTGTAAAAAAAAAACGTGTTGAATTTATATAAAAAAAACGTGTTGAATTTATATAAAAAAACGTGTTGAATTTATATAAAAAAACGTGTTGAATTTATATAAAAAAAACGTGTTGAATTTATATAAAAAAACGTTTTGAATTTATATAAAAAAACGTGTTGAATTTATATAAAAAAACGTGTTGAATTTATATAAAAAAACGTGTTGAATTTATATAAAAAAACGTGTTGAATTTATATAAAAAAACGTGTTGAATTTATATAAAAAAAGTCTTGAATTTATATTAAAACAAAAGTCTTAAATTTGTATAAAAAAAGTCTCAAATCTATAAAAGAAAAAAAAGTGTCATGCTCTTTTCTCAACACATAAGTCGATTACAATGCTTACTTAATATGCTCTGAATTCCTGCATCACTTCCAGCACCTGGAGCTCCGGGAGCACCCATAACATAAGCATGATGTCCATGATGAGCTCCGACGCCAGGAGCGGGTGCTAGCATACCATACATGCCTGCTGCAGGCTGTGGACTGGCATGGCCCTGAGGAACTGAAGCACCACCATTGGCTACAAATTGGGAATTTGATTGGCCATTTGATTGGTTACGGTTGTAGCGTGGGTTTGGTCCTCCTGATGGATTATAACCACGATTTCCTAGAGAAAAAAAAAGAAATATTAGAGAGAAATACTTGGAACAAGGATGTTAATAATATTGAGCATTTGTTTGGACTTACCATAATTTCTTGGTCCATTATTCTGATAGCCATTGCTTTGGTAACCATTACTCTGGTAACCACCGGCTCCATTCATGTTTTGGTTGTGATAGCTCTTCTGATAACCATTATCTAAAAAAAAAATTAAGTATAATTTAACATTCATCCAGATTTTAAATTCATTTTTCACTAGATATAGTCTACAAGATTTTGCAATTTTTTTTAGAAAAATGATATTTTACTATTATTATTACTTCTTGGTTGATATCCATTATGCTCCATTCCTCCTCCGTTGTGTGGATTGCGCATGTGGTTTCCCATTGGATTATTGAACCTGGGTGCACCACTTCCCGGTCTCATGGGTTGATACTCCTGATGACTTGGATTGATCCACTGGTTGTTCATCGGTTTTCCCATCATCATGGCTCCATTGTCCTTGTTACGGTTATTATTCTGCTGCCATCGGTTGCGCCCTGGCGAATTAAAATTATTTGTTTGCGATTGTGGCAATTGCCTTTTGTGAAAGTTAGATTTTGTTTGGTTTGAAGAACCTGGAAAACAAAACCACAAAACCAGTCTATTGGACTCAGTTGTGAATGAAGAATTTTAATCTTTGGAATAGTAATAAATAGTGACTAAAAAAGTGAGTTCTAAATTTTTTGATGGTGGCTTTAGGCACTAACCTTTTCCATTGAATGATGTGCGGGCCATTTCCATGAGTGTTGGAGGTACACTTTGTCCTGCCTCTTCAAGAACAGCTACCAACTCACGAGCTTGTCTGCTGTTACCAGGAGTGAAGAAGGTGTAAGCAGTTCCTGATTGATCACAACGACCTGTACGACCTATTTAAAGACAAACAAAATTAAAATAAATCTGCTAACAATACAATTATTCAAGATATTCAAAAAAATATTTGGATTCAACTTAAAAGAGAATTTTTATAGTAATATATATTGTAGTAATTAATGAAATATTAATATTATATTAAATATTTAAGTACTAGAGTTGAGAGATATTTATAATTATATAAAAAATCAACAAATAATTAAATAAAATTTAATAACTGAAAGATTTAAAAAGTAAAATTCTACATAAATATAAATAATGCCTTTCAATAAGAATAGGATAATAAGGAAGAGGATAATGTGACTATTAATAATAACTCACCAATTCTATGGATGTAATCCTCAGATGAATTGGGATAATCGTAGTTCAAAACATACTTCACATCTTCTACATCCAAACCTCTAGCAGCAACATCTGTAGCGACCAATATTGAAGACTTTCCACATCTGAATTCATTCAACACATGATCCCGCTCGCCTTGTGACTTATCACCATGAATACAAATTGCAGCATATCCCTCCCTTTTAATTGTTTTTGTTATATCATCTACTTTCTTTTTGGTTTCAACAAAAATTATAATCTTGTTTGTACGTTCTGTCATAATTTCTCTTAACAAATTGGACAATTTTTGTTCTTTCTGAGACTCTTCACAGATCTCAATTATCTGTCTGATGTTGTGATTAGCAGCAAGATTCAGTGAACCGATGTTAATTTGTATGTAGTCATTTAGGAAGTCTTCTGCCAAAGCTTGAACTTCTTTTGGCCAAGTTGCAGACCACATCAAAACTTGTCTGTCTGGCCTGATTTGCTCAATGATTTTACGAATTTGAGGTTCAAAACCCATATCTAACATTCTATCAGCTTCATCAAGCACCAGATAAGTACACCTTCTTAAATTTGTGGTTCCACGCTCTAAGAAATCAATCAGTCGACCGGGTGTGGCTATGACAATTTCAACACCTCTTTCCAAATCGCGTGCTTGAGGTCCTTTGGGAGATCCTCCAAAAATACAAGTGTTGCGAATTGAATTTGAAGCACCAAAGTCACGAGCAACAGTTTGAATTTGTTGAGCTAATTCTCGAGTGGGGGCAAGTACCAATGCAATGGGGCCATCTCCTTAAAGAAAAATACAAAACCTCATTCACAAAAATAATATTGATAATATATTAAAATATTACCAAAATATATATGATACAAAAAAATCTAAATTTTGCAAGCTCAAATGTACACTTGTTCAAATATATAAAAAATCAAAATGACATTCAATACTATTTCAAATTGAAATTAATTTTAAATGAATATTACCTCTCTGAAGACGTTCTTGGTTGCTGATGTGCACAGCGGCGGGCAGCATGTAGGCCAGTGTCTTTCCAGAACCAGTTTGTGCAATTCCTACCATATCCCGTCCACTCAAAGCAATTGGCCACCCTTGTGACTGTATCGCAGTGGGTTCAGCAAAACTCTGTTTTCGAATCTCCCTCATGATATATTCTGGGAAATTGCCTTCATCAAACTCTTGATTTGGATTCGGTACATCATTGCCATTAACTGTGATTTCTTTCTCCTCCCTGTATCTGTCTACTTCCTCCTTGGTCCTGTCTTTATTCTTTGCATGTGGTACATAGAAGTTCTTCCTAAACGGCTGCATGTTGGCTTGACTCCAATCTGGTTTTTTGAGACTTTCACCTGGATTTTTTGCTTTCATACTCTGCAGTTTGGGTCCACCAAAATCATTTTTTAACCCAGCCATAAACGTCTGACTTTTATTGGTATAACTTTTCGGTCCACCGAAATCTTTGTTACTGTAATCCATTTTAGGACCTCCAAAATCGTTTGGCATCTGTGGAGTCCAGCAGTTTGTCTGCTTACCGTATTGTTCGTTGCAGTCAGGACGTGGTCTGTACCTTAAACGAAAAATTTTAAGTTGACTTTCAAAGACCTCCCTTGTACTTCCCACATCTGCTCCGAATTGCGATACCCATTAAATTTTATTAATTTATAATATACCAGTGTTTTTTTAAAGATGTCAAAACCATTTTGTTTGTTCGAGCCGTATGTATGTTGATGTATTGCGTAAAAACAAAAAAGATGACATCAATGAGATTCTTGAAAAAATGGCGGACGAAAGGTGTCGATAAAAAAAAATGAAATAAAAATAAAAAAAATCATACTTACATATGATTGTTCTGATTATTATACACACTATTGTATTGCATTTTTATAACTTTTTTGTTGCCAGTTCGAATGTCAAATATCAATAAGACCTATAAAGACAAGAGGAACTCATTAGATTGTCAGAGCCCAGCACTCGAATGTGACAATAAACGATGAGAAACACAAAGTAAAGACATGAGATAAATGAATAATAAACAAACGACGTCTGAAAGTAATAAACAAGTTGATTGTGCAGCAGATTTAATTACCTTGTTAATAAACCGGACCGCCGAACAAAACGATAATGGCAGAACAGACAGCAATGGCGAACAGCGACCCGGAGCCCGCAACCTACTCGTACTGGCAGCACTGGGCAGCGTCCATCTAGGGAAACAATCGGTGCGCTAGCGACAGCTGTACAGGTGCCAACCGAACGAGGGAAAATCGAACAATTTCGCGAAATTCAAATAAAAGATTCACATCGTTTAGCACCACAAATTTCATAAATATTAAAAATCTTTGAAAAACCAAACATTATTAACACACAAACACAATAATAATAAATTTCAAATACTCTATTATAATTTTATAGAAAAAACTGTTTAGTATTTGATTTTGTGATGAATTACTGCTAAGCAAAAAGAATGATGTTATAATTACAAATTTTTAATGTCATTTGATGATCCTGAAATAAAATCATTAACATATTTTAATTTTTCCTACTAATATTCTTATTGAACTATTTTATAAGAGTATGATAAAATGTTCGTATCACAATAGACCTTTTACGGTTTTAGTAAAATCATGTCATTGATTCATAAGTAAATTAATATTGCAAAACAATTAAACTAATTAAAAGCCTTGCAAATAAAATCATAATCCTATTTTATTATCCAAAATGAAAAAAAAAACATCAGATTCTTCACAATTACACAACTTGCATCAATCATCTTGTTCCAACAGACCAATAAGACTTTCCGATTATATATCCATTCCCTAAAATAGATAATTCAAATCAATATATATGAATAAATTAAAAATATAATTATACTATTATTATTTGCTGTTGATTTGTTTTTGTTTTAAATTTTTTAAATAAAAACTAATTAATACAAGATTGAGATTTAATATTTATTAATGTACCTAATAAATAAAATTATTCTTGGAAATAACAGACACAATCAATTATAAGATAAATTTTCTTAAAAAAAAATTATACATATATACACTTCATATTACACAAAACTAACTATCGCTAACAAGTCAAGCAGAGTATGTATGTTTAGCAGTATCTCCCATTTTCAGTAACCACCAAAGTTATGTCTAGGCGGTGGTGGCGGATGGTTTCCCCTGAACCTCATCCCGCCACCGTAATTGCCACCGCCTCCATTGTAATACGGCTGAGGTGGTGGTGGTCCTCCAGCTCTTGGAGGCCCATGGAATGGCTGTCGAAACCGAGGAGGAGGAGGTCCGCCTCCCATCGTAGGTGGCGCAGCACCCATCATCGGCGGACCGTTATTGTACCGATTGCCGCCGCTGCTATTTATCGGCGGCATATTTGGGTTCATCATCATCGCCGCCTGTGACGGAGGAGGATAATATTGCGGAGCCGGTGGACCCTGCGGCGCCTGCGACGGATGTGCGTGACCTGCGACCATCCTTGGAGGTTCGCCGTTAGGTGGCGGCGGCGGAGGAGGCATAGAAGGCAAAGGAGGCATGTGATTCGTAGGAGGAGGCGGAGGCATATGACTGTTTGGCGGTAAAGGAGGTTGTTGTTGCATTGGTTTAGTCTGCTGGTACTGTCGAGTGTCATACATATTACCACCATTTGCTTGGTATGAAGATGCTTGTTGTTGTTGAGAATTCATGCTTTGCTGATACATATTTTGATTGTACATGTGATTACTGGGAAGTGGTGGCTGAGGTGGAGGAGGATTGTACATTGTGTTTGGCAGTGGTGGTTGAGCTGCCATACTTGATTGTGTTGTGTAAGCATTATGGTTACTCGCCTGAGGCGGTTGTGGTGCATAACTATGATGACTGCTTGTTGGTGGTTGAGGTGTGTATGTATTATGATTACTAGGTGGTGGCGGTTGTGTTTGGGATACATTTGGATTATACATTGGAAGTGGAGGTTTCTGTGGTGGTGCTTGAGGTCGATTTGTACTCTGATTGTATATGCTGCTGCTGGTTTGTCCGTTACTAGAAGTTGAGAGTGGTTGTTGAGTCTGCTGTGACTGTCGTGCCGTAGCGTAATTTGATTGTTTTTGTTGTTGTTGATGATGTTGTTGCTGTAAGTCATTGAAATTGGACATGGTCGACGGCGGATGCGCTGATTGTTGTTGTCGATGGTTCTGAGCCACCGACTTATCATTGCTCATCGTTATTGTTGATGTTGTTGCGACACCAGAGGTAACCGCTGATTGCGGCTGACTAGTGTGCTCTGTTGACTTGCCTGTTGTTTGCCTATCGCGCGATCTGGATCTTGAAATCGACCTGGACCTCGATCTGGATCTGGACCTGGATCTAGATCTCGATCTCGACCTCGATTGCGAATTAGTTTTGGATTTCGACTTTGATCTAGACCTACTCCTGGTCTTGCGCCTTCGTTCGACGTTTTTGCGAGTCCTACGGTCGCGTGACCTGGACCTGGTGCGCGATCTCCTGCGACGGCGACGGTCGCGTGATCGATCCCTAGATCGATCTCTGGAGCGATTGCGAGACCGTGAACGCTGTCGCCTGTCGCGGTTGCGGGAGCGAGACCTGGAACGCGACCGGGAGCGGGAACGAGCGCCTCCATTGCCACCGCCGCCGCCGCCTCCTCGACCTCTATTGCCACGGCCACGATCTGGAACGGATCAAAATAAGGATGTGTAAATTATCGATTCAAATTTAGAAACTAGAGGTGCGCATGGCATCGCGCCTTAAGGCAAATTGCTGGAATTTCCCATACCAAAAATATTTTTATTTTAAAGGATTAACATCTTTGAAACAAATTTAGTCTGAACAAATTGGATTTTTGAGAAAGTATAAATTTTTGACAAAAATTTACTTTTTTTGAAAAAAAAAGATTTTTAGAAGAAAAATTTATTTTGAAATATTTTGGAAATTCTGAACTTTTTTCAAAGCGATCGTATTGCTTTAACTGCATAGAGACGATATATCGAAGCGCGTAAGCCGTCTAACGGATAAACATCGGTACGGAACCCATAGGAATGTAAACAAAATTCATACTTATTGTTAAAATCTCTATAAAAATATCTAATAATTTGATGTGCATATGTCTAATGATTATTTTTGACCGCCCAATGGCCTTTTTTAACTTCCCGTAGGGTAAGTTATTATAATGGGCCGAGAATGGGAATTGAAAATTTTTACATTTCTCGACGTTTTGAAGGTTTCTGAACATTTTGGCATACCTCAGAAAAAATAGATGTGTGTGTGTGTATGTATGTATGGATACAAATTTCCAGTCACGTTTTCGGGCGCACGGATCAACCGATTTGAATGGTTCAAAAAACATTCGATTCCTATTGATAGGGAAAAGAGCTGATTAGTTTTTGGCGAAGGCAGGTCCAGCCGTTTCGGTGATACGGAGCAAAGAGTGCAGAAAATAGAAATCGATTTTTTGAGAGAACGGAGTATCCGATTTGAATGATTTAAAAAACATTCAATTAGTAATGATTGGGAGAAGAGGTGATTAGTGTTTGGCAAAGGCACGCCCAGCCATTTCGAAGATACGGAGCTAAAAATGTAAAAAATGGCAGTTTTTGAGGGAACTAAGCGTCCGATTTAAATGATTCAAAGAACTTTCTGCTTGCCTTAACAAAATAATTGATTTTGGGTTTTTTTTTTTTGTTTATTTTGTATATCGAAAATAATTCAGATTTTATTTTTATTCTGACTAAAGTTCTAATATAACTTAAACAAATAATTTTAAATTCGCAATTCAGTTTAAATAATTATTATAAATATTAGACAATGTTACAATATTTATAATAATCTATTTGAAAACCTGCCTTCGCCTACCAGCACGTCTCCTTATCAGTACGAATCGAATGTTTTTTGAATTATTCAAATCGCTTCATCCGTGTTCCCGAAATCGTCGACGAAAATTTGTATCCGCACACACACACACACACGCACACATACATCCATTTTTTCTAAGGTATTCCAAAATGTTTTGAGAAGGTTTTGAAACGTAAAGATATATAAACATTTTCATTTTTGATTTTTTTGCGATTACTATAACTTGCCCTACGGGAGGTTAATAATATAATATAACAGATCTAACAACTTACGTCTATGTCGGCCATTTGATCCCATATCAGCCATGTCTTGTAATTTGGGATTGACGACCTGGTTGGCCTCGCGCAGAACTGCCACTAAATCAGCAGCTTTATTAGAATTCGCAGGAGTGAAAAAAGTATAAGCTGTACCGGTCCTATTCGATCTTCCTGTTCTGCCTATACGATGAACGTAATCCTCCGAGTTGTTTGGATAGTCAAAGTTTATCACAAATTTAACATCTTCCACATCTAAAGATCGATTAAAAATTGTATATGTTAATATATGACATAGAATAATAAATTACGCAATTTCACAAATATAGTCATGGCATAATTTTTTTTCTGTTTCTTCAGTTTTGACATTTGTATAAGTAAACCGTATTTGCCATGCATAAATTTTTGAAATCGCTTTAATTAATTATATAACCCTTGTGCTTAATAAGAAAAAAAATAAGGACAATATTGACAATCCTTGACATAAGTAATTTACACCAAACAACCTAACAATAAGATTTTCAATAATCCAATATTATATATTAGTATATGAAAAAAAATATGTTAGTAGATTAAATAAGTATTATATAAAAATAACTATTTAAAAACTATAACTGACGCTTTTATATGTTTAAAATAGTTTAAGGTATCGAATAAAGAATTCAGTAATAAATAAATATTTCAAAAAAATGATTGTAAACTTTCGTTTGTTATATAAAAATATATATTAAATCTTATTATTATATATATTATATATTCTATGTTAAAAGTACAATCTTTGTTAGTAACTACATAATTTTTAAATGTATTAATATTATAATTGATGTAAGCATATTCTCAAAAAAAAAAATATCACTTAAATGATAGCTGACATCAAAAATATTAATTTGTCATGATTGAGAATATGGGGATTTGAATGTTTCATGCGATGTTGATCTCATTTCAATGTTAATTAACATTGGACAATGTTATTGTCAAAAAAACTGATAAATTCAATTAAGATTTGTGTAAAACCTATTTAACCCTTTCGCCAAGAGATTAGAAGAATAAGGCTTTTCAATCAATATCATCAAGAACGTACTTGAAGAAGTGATAAATATTGAAGCAAAACTCGATGCACTAGGTGTCGTCCATGGACGACACTCTTGCAAAAGGGTTAAAATAAAAAATTGACCTGCACAAAAAGAAATAAGATCACCATCGCACAAGATGATTCTCTAAATTTTAAATGTTTCCATTATTATTACTATCCTGTGTAGAATTTTTAAGTGTGTGTCTATATAACTAGATGTGTCTCTTACGATGGCATGGGGGCACGACAGTTAGCAGTAGTCGTGCACACTGCACAGACAAACATTATCCGTTCTGTCGAGGCACACAGAGGCAGCGAACGAATCTTTTTGACCAAAATGCATTCGACAAATTTTATTCAGTCTAGCATAAGGGGGCACACGTACACGTACACGATTCCAGTCACTTGTAGACGGAAGAAGAAGAGGCAGTAGTAGGAGCCACTTTTAACAACTACTGACTGACTGACACAGACAATTGGCGGTGCCTCACACTTATGCTTATATAAAATTCGTTTCTCATTTGGTCAATGCGATTCAAATAGCTCGCCCGAGGTTGTGCCTCTGCAAACAGAAAAACCAGACGAGGTTGCGCTTACAGTGGTAAAGAACAAATAAAAAGGATCAGGAAACTTAAATAACAGATATCTAAATGATATTGCATTAATTTCCATATTTCTTTGAACATAATTGTGTATTAAATTAACATAAGTCGGTGGTTTCCAACAAAAAAAAATGTTTCGTTCCTTAATCTAATTCCACAAATACTCACCTGATATTATAATTTTTCAATGACCCACATAATTAATTATATAAAATATATAACCATTATACTAGTTGTAAGTGGTATTTTGCGTTAATTGCTTATCAAATATTTAGATAAAATTCTCAACAGTTTATTTTGAATAACCTTTCCGTTTTCTCTAAGAACTAATCAATACGATTTTTAAATCAAACAGACTTAAAATGTCTATAAGTGTGTTCTAAATTTTACTATTATTTAATTTTCAACCAACAAATATATTCGTTTAGACCACGAACTCTACCTCCGTACAAACTTGCAATAAAATCGTCAAAAACTTTAAATTCAACAATTAATTATAAAAAAATCTGGCCGGACAATCTTTATGAAGAATGAATCTGGTATTTAATTTTTCAAAATCGCACGAAACTTAACAGCTAATTCTAAAGAAAGGCTGATCGGCTTGCAAAACTAATCAGCCCCACAAGTTGGAAACCACTGACTTAATGATCATCATAACAAATTTGAAACTAAACTTTGTATATATTTAAAAAGGTAACAATATTTGTGGGTAACCCATAATTTACATAACTAGTCAAAATTCTATTTGCTGCAAATATTTAAAGTTTTCATATAAAAACTATTATTTTTATATATGAACAATGAAATAAATATTTGAATATGATAATTATTCTAATTTATAAACGTAAATAAAGAAATATATGCCGCAATACAAAGTTCTAATCGTATTCAAAAGAATTCGAATAGCATTGCTTTAAAATACTTTAAATTTTAAAGTATTTAAAAAACCCGATAGAAATCTCTTATCAAAGTACTAAATAAAAAAACATACATTTGGTGCAGTCACAACACATGTTAAAAAGTATTGTGGACATAATTTTGACACAGTTATATAATCAAGTTGGTGGCATAAATGCTCACCAAATCTCCTAAGAATTTATTTGCTCAAAATTAAACCTTTTAAAAATTCTCTGATTTCCCCCTTTTACTTTTAAATTCATTATAAAATAAACACATTCTAATAAAGAATGGCTTTTATAAATGACAATAAAACAGAAATGCACCCTTAAAATAGCAAACAAAACCCTTTGAATAAAAATTGTCAGGTTGCCATTACACAATTTAGTAAATTCGAATTTCTATATATATTTTTCAATAGATACCCTAATGTTGAAAACCAAAAAAAGACTGACTAAATTTAAAAAAACTTACAAAAAGCAGTAAAAGTAAATAAATCTGTCATAGACAAATATAAACTTTACAATATACTATTAACAAATTACTATGAACTGTCTTGCGAGTAGACATTTAATAAATAAGCACCTTAAAATTATTTGTCATTACAAAAAATAATGTTTATAATATTTCAAATAACACATATATGAAGTACTATTTATAAAAATTAAAAATAATTAAGTAACAATCAAATCAAAAGAATTTGAAGATTTAAATTAGAATAAAACTTTTACTTACCTAATCCTCGAGCTGCAACATCAGTTGCCACTAACACAGGTGCTTTGCCAGATCTAAAGTCTATAAAAGAAATAAACAATTATATTTATATATATATTTACACAATGAAAAAATTTAATGTAAAACTATAATACATACCTTGTAATACCCAATCCCTTTCATTTTGTGACTTATCACCATGTATACACACAGCGGGCCATCTATAACAAAAACACATAATTTATTAATTTACAATCCTCCAGGACCAAATAAAGTTAAATAATCATTTCCACACACCCGTCACGTTTCATTTTCCTCGTAATATCATCAACCCTTCTTTTAGTCTCAATAAAAATTATAGTCTTATTCTCTTTCTCAGCCATGATCTCCTTAAGTAAAGTACTAAGTTTAGTTTCCTTTTCATATTCCTGACAAACATCAATAATTTGCAATATATTATGGTTAGCTGCCAGTTGCAAAGAACCAACGTTGATTTGTGTGTAGTCTCTGAGGAACTCTTGGGCCAAATTCATTACTTCCTTAGGCCAAGTAGCACTCCACATGAGAGTTTGTCGGTCTGGCCTTATTTGTTCAATAATTTTACGAATTTGAGGCTCAAAGCCCATGTCCAACATTCTGTCGGCTTCGTCTAGTACAAGGTAAGTGCATCTTTTCAGGTTAGTACGATTGGTTTCCAAAAAATCCAAGAGTCGGCCAGGAGTGGCGATGACAATTTCAACCTATAAAAAATAATAGAAATGTTAAGAAAATGGCAAATATGAACCCTAGGTTTTTACACAGTATGTATTTACCCCATCCATTAAATCAGCAGCCTGAGGTCCCTTAGGAGCCCCCCCAAATATACAAGTGTTTCTTATGTGAGAACTTCTACCAAAATCTGTTGCAACTTGTTGGATTTGTTGTGCCAATTCTCTTGTAGGAGCCAAAATTAAAGCAATTGGTCCATCTCCTCTTTGTAATTTTGGTTGATGGTTTATGTGCACTATTGCTGGTAAAGTATATGATAAAGTTTTGCCGGATCCTGTTTTAGCTATTCCTACCATGTCCCGGCCACTCAAAGCAATTGGCCATCCTTGGGCTTGTATAGCTAAAAATATGTAATAAAAATATAACAATATATAAATGATGCATGTTGTTTAAGATGTTAGCAATTTATTACCTGTTGGTTTATCAAATCCAACTTTGTCAATTTCCGACATAACATATTCAGGAAAATTAGCTTCGTCAAAAGTTAAAACAGGAGCAGGAATGTCCCTTCCTTTTAATGTAATATCTTTATCTAATCTCCATTGTTCTATTTCTGATTCTGATCGATTTTTGACATTTGGATGTGGAGTGTAAAAATCTTTTTTGAAGGGCTCCAGCCGGGAAAGGTCCCACTTTGGTTTTCGAAGGCATGCACCAGGATTGCCGGTTTTTCTAGTACCAGCACCCCCATAACGTTCACGAGATCTGCTGCGGTCCCTTCTGCGGTCTCGGTCGCGGCTCCTATCTCTGTGAGAAAGGATAATTGAAATAGATGAACAAACTATAGGTAATATTTTATTGAATTAAATGTAGCTTGTAAAGGTTGAAGCTAAAACTGTATTGCAGTATCAAAATTGATTTCATTGTGAATATTTAAAAAAAAAAACTTGGATATTAATTATATATGAAGCAAAAACGACGCTCAACCCAAACGTCAAATTTATTATTAATCACTCACCTTCTACTCATGGTCATTATGCAGTTAATTTATCACTAAACTTTCATTAACAACTTACATTTACATCACAAATATTTATTTAAACTAATAATAAATAATGAATTAGAATTATTTAGTTATAAATTTAATATACTACCGATGTTCATTTTTTTGTTAAAAGAAAGATGGCGCCGGCGTGTTGCCAGATGAACAAAATCGCAAATTTGACAGCTCAAAATTATCCGTTGTTTTTCAAATACAATATAATACAAAATGACAATTATTCAATTTAATTAAAGATTCAAATCTTCTCCCAATTATAATATATCTATAAATCTATATTATAATTCAATTAAAATTAGTTTTAGTAAATTTAGGTTCCATAACACTTTATATTAAATATTTTCATACTAATTGTGCTTTATCAAAACATTCACAAAACATTTACCATATATTTTTAAAATTAACTTTATTCATAGTAGATACACTCTCAATAATAATTAACAAATATTGAGATTCTATTAATGTGCCCCAAGCACAAAGTTCAAAATAAAAATTTCATTCAAAGATAAAATACTAATTACATAATATAATTATATATTAAATATTGATTATATTGCATATAATCTCCAGTGTTTCAAATCTATATCACATAATTTGAGATAATACATTTATGGCAAGATAAATTATATCTTGCACACATTAAAATTTCCTAATCGTGTCACGTATACATGCAGATTATATTAGTTTATTTTTGGTCATGTAATAAAATGAGATGCTAGTGTGTTAATGAAAAATGAGATGATATGAAACAAATTTTCCCTGTCCAATTTTATTCTAATAATACCCTTGGTATTGGTAAGATTGATGTTGGTTTTGCGGTTGTTGATAATGAGATTGTTGATATTGTGGTTGCTGCTGCTGCTGCTGTTGCTGGAAACTAGGCGGAGGCACTGAATACTGATTTTTCTCAGTAGTTTCATAGCCCAGCAAACCAATCGGCCTGGCTGTATTGGCAGTTGCAACTGTACCATTTGTCATATTGCTCCCAAAATTACTATTACCATAATTGTTATAATTATTAGCAGTTGGTGCTACATTGTTATAAGTCCTAGCACTATAACCATTGTTGGTTGGAGCTTCGTTGTATATGTGTGTATTATTCTTTGCTTTATACTTTGAATCTTTGCCAAACGTCTTGCGAGCCATTTCACTAAGCTTTGGATTCACTACTTGTCTAGCTTCTTGCAAAACATCAATTAATTCCTTAGCATGTCTTGCATTTTGTTGAGTGAAAAAGGCATAGGAAGTTCCACTTTGCTTATTCCTGCCTGTGCGTCCGATGCGATGAATGTAATTTTCTGATGAGTTTGGAAAATCAAAGTTTATCACAAACTTTACATCTTCTACATCTGTAAACACACACATAGAATGTGAATATTAAATAATAGTAAATTAAATGATTAAAAATTATAAATAAAATGTATTCAACACTATGCGCTATCTGGCTCAAAAATAGTTCCATCATTTTACAATATTTAAAGACTCATTACTTACCTGCACACATAAAATTTTCCAAACCTACCAAGAATTTCTTGAAGATAATTTTATGTTTAAAATAATAATAAAACTATTTCCTATATCCATAACTTAATAACCACAAAATATATAAATTTAAATTTAAATAACTAAAATCAGTTTCACTAATTAAATGAAATGAAATATTCTGAAGTCACGTACAATACACTCATCAACCTGTTTCTGTAGACCACTGATAATGTCTCCATTTATAAAATAAATTTATTTAAAATTTATTATAGAGTTGACAACAGTTGCCTTCTGAAACGAGCTAGAAAATAATTGGTCAGTCAGATAATTAATATAATATTTAAAAAATACACATTATATTGTGTATTTCATTTAATTTTAGATAACATGATTAAACTCATGCAATCATGAGAGCTCAATTTCAGAATCAAATACTCAATATGAACACACAAAGGTTACAAGTTAAAATATAATAAAATAAACAGTAGGAAAATAATGTGCATGCAAATTTTAAGTATAAAAACTATAAGTGTGTTAAAAAAATGTTACAAAATGAACTCAAATACTCAAATACTTACAATAATTGACATGTACATAATTAATTCCATTTATCAGATTTACAGTGATTCTTTATAATGTTCACAAGTTCATATTTAGATTCTTAAAGCATAGAGCTTTCAGTACAAGCCGTTACCATAAACAGCTTATATAAAAAATAAAATTTGTTAGTAAACCTTAAAACGATGATGAAATGATACAAATGTAGGTAAAAAATTTTAGAATTAAACTTGTAAAACGTCAGACTACTAATCCTAAATTGTTTCTTAAAAACAATATAAAAACTCACCAAGCATTTTAAGATAAGCGGTCTGACCTGAGAACATACAACAGTCAATTATTTATTATTAATCAATTATACAATTTTTGCTTGTATCATAGTCATCGAGTCGACAAAATGTTAATTAAAGGACTGACCACCAACAAAACTTGATACCATAACAAATTACAGTTATCATCGAGTGTAACTTTGTACTAGACCTTGATACTTCTGATAAAGATAATGTCAATTCGTTGTTTTTTATCAAATTCAACCATATTTACCGAGACCCCTAGCAGCAACATCAGTTGCCACTAAAATCTTATTGCGGCCGCAACGGAAGGCTGATAGAACATGATCACGATCTTGTTGGCTTTTACCACCATGGATACTGGCAGCAAACAATCTAGGGAAATGGACATAGAATTTAATATTTAGTTTTCATAACTTTTTTATTTATTTATTTGTTATTATTATTATTACCCTTGTTTCATAATGGCTTTAGTGATCTCATCAACCTTCTTCTTAGTCTTCACAAAAATGATGGTCTTGTTTTCTTTCTCCAATGAAATTTCCCTCAACAATGTCTTCAGCTTTAAATCCTTCTCATGCTCAGCACAAACATCAACAATTTGTACAATATTATGATTTGCTGATAGTTCTAAAGAACCGACATTCAAATGTGTAAACTTCTGCAGGAAATCCTTGGCTAGTTTTTGAACGTCATTAGGCCAAGTTGCTGACCACATAAGGACTTGTCTATCCGGTCTAATATGGCTCATGATTTTGCGTATTTGAGGCTCAAAGCCTAAATCTAGCATTCTATCAGCTTCATCAAGTACTAGATAGGTGCAACGTTTCAAATTTAAGGTGCCTTTATCTAAGAAATCTATTAAACGACCTGGTGTAGCAATCACCATTTCACAGCCACGTTGTAGATGCTGAATTTGTGGTTCTGGAAGAATCAATTTGTATAACAAAAATAAGTCATGCTGTTTATGGTAATAGATAAAAGAAATTACCTCTCAAAGATCCTCCAAATAAACAAATACTGGAGATGTTCAAGGCATGTCCAAAATCATTTGTGACTACTTGAATTTGTTGAGCTAATTCTCTGGTTGGAGCGAGAACCAAAACAATGGGTCCATCTCCCATTTGCAGCTTCGGCTGATGGCTAATATGTATTATAGCAGGTAGGACATAGCCCAAGGTTTTACCTGAACCAGTTTGAGCTATACCGACTAAATTTAATCCTGACAATGCTATGGGCCAGCCTTGAGCTTGAATAGCCGTAGGTTCAGCAAAACCTATAGAATAAATCATTTAATAATTCCGTTTCTTATTGTATACAAAATTATCCAAGTAAAACATTTCCAACCTTGTCTTTTCAAATTATCCATTATAAATGGTGGAAAGTTGCATTCATCAAAAAATTTTATAGGCCCAGGAATAGTGTGATCCCCACTGACTGTAATATTCTTCAATCGTCTAAACTCATCTACCTCAAATGGCTGGCGATTCGCAACAGCTTTATGAGGAACATAAAAATCTCTGCGAAATGGCTGCAAAGCACTCATATCCCATTTGACGTCTAGAGGTGTCATATTTTGGGTGGTCTTTAAGGCTTATTAGGGTTCTTCATGGGCTTAAAACTGAACTGGCGTGTGTTGAAGGAGCCGTTATAAGGCCCCCCATGACCGCCGCGAGCTCCGCCACCTCCACGACCTCCTCTTGGGTTTGGTTTATACCTAGGAAATAAAAATATAAAATAATACATAGAATAACTTACTCTTTATAAATATTCTATCACTTACACTATAAACATTTTTTTTTAATTATTACTTAATTTAAAACATTTTTTTTGATACATTGGCTTTAAGCATTCTGATGCTATGCCAATGTATTTTTATATTTTATTAAAAAGTACCGATAACATTTTTAAGTAACCATTTTCATTGATTAAATTTTAATAATTTTGTTTGATCAAATAATATTACCATGGAAACTTGGTTACGACATTTAGAATTGCATAATGCAATTAAAAATCAAATATATTCTAGCTTGTTAATATAAACATTAAAAATGGCAAAAATTATGAGTTTCTATATAATTTAATCAAATTATATGTCATATTCTAATCGGTTCATTTATATTAAAATGTTCATATATATTTAAAATGAATTTTAACTATAAACAGAGTTTTAATAATACAAATTCGTATGGTTTTATATCAACTTTGAATTATTATCATTATAATATAAATATTGACATTATTCTAGAAAATTATCCGGCTCAATTAAAATGGAGTCGGCCGCTTAGCAACAAGGAATATCTACTTACATGATGTCGAATTAAGCTTTTATATCGTTGTCACTTTCAACTTTATTTATCAGATTAAAAACCAAACTTTTTACTTTTCGTACAAATGAGTTTAGAGCGATTTATATATTGATAGAATGCAAATTTCAATTCTATAAAAAGACGATCGAAGTTACTGAACCGTTCATGAAAATCAATCTAGATTCTGGAATCACACGATCGGACATGCCAACTTTGTGATGAATGAAATAAATGAAAATATTTTAATTAATTAATGAAACAATTTGATATTTGCAGCATACGTATGCAATTATTATTGCTAAATTATATTAAAAATGCGCGTTATTTATATTGTTTAATTATTTGAAAGTTTTACACAAACTCTTCTTTTATCTATGGTTTTACATAAGTTTCTTTATAAATTAAAATAAATGTATATAATAAAAATATATACAATTAAATTTATACCAATTTTTATAAATGTTATAAAATTAGTGTTCTAATTAAATTTTGTCTTAATACCTTTATTAAATTTGAATTTAAATTTTTAAATTTAAATTTTTGCTAAATTCTGTTTCCGAAGATAACTTCATAGCAAACCATTTGTTAACAAATGTCAATTTTGACATTTAAAATGTAACCTTATAAACCGAGAACTAATTTAAATTGTATTTATATTTTTTTACTTATATTTTCCTATCAAAGACTGATTTAGTGTTATAAAATACCATAAAAATGTCAAATACTTTGGTTATAAAACATTTACCTCATACCTTTAGTGAAGACGAAAAAATAAATTTACTAAAACATTTTGGTGCACAAGATGTTAAAATATTATCTTCCAAAAGAAGAAAATATTCCCTAGCATTCGCTACTTTTCCCAGTAATCCAGAAGCAGAAATAGCCTTAAAAAAACTCCACCAACTTGATAAAAGGATCTAAATTAAATGTAGAGTTTGCAAAAGACAGACTACCAGAACCCCCCAGACCCAATAAGAAAGAAACAGATTCAGACAAAAAGTCACATCTAAATGACTTCATTAACTCACTAAACGCTTTTAATAACTCTGTTAACTTTATGCAACCACCACCTCCTCACTTAAAATATAAATATCCTGTACCGAATAAAGCTACATTGAGCAATATTATGCACGCTCTGAGTTCAAATAGTAAATTTTATACACAAGTCTGTCATTTAATGAATAGAATGAACTTACCACCACCGTTTTCTACAGTTCCTGATTACCTTGTAGAACAATCATTTGTGCCACAACCAACACAAATAATAAATCAAAATGCTGAGAACCCTGTAGAAGAAAAACCAGAATCATCCGAGGAAGAATCAGAGATTGAAAGCGATCCTGAAGATCATAAGTTTAGACAAGATTCTGTGATTGTAGATAGTAAACCGAAAAAGACACATGCACCTTTAAAGCGACCAAATGTTACAAAAAATATTGAATATACACCAAAGCCTAAACAAGCAAAAATAGCCACAGAAGAAGTATTTGAAAAAGTTGATATTGCTAATAAGAAAATTGAAGTGAAAGTCTCAAGTGATGCAATTTCAAAGGTTGCAACAAATCAGCAAACATTGGATGTTGAAATTGGTACATTGGTAAAATTTATCCACCAGAATATGTACCAGAGTCTAAAACGCAAGAAGAAACTGAAGAAAACACACAAATTGACAAAACATCTAGCGACTATATTTCATCCAAACAACTAGCTGAAAACCGATTGTCAGAATCAAACTACTCAACTCTACCAGCATTTAAAAATTACAATCCCGGGCCCCCATCTTGCAGACTGTACATAAAAAATTTAGCAAAAACAGTTACTTAGAAGATTTACATTTTATTTATCGAAGATATCTAATACCAGATTATCAGAATGGTGAAGAAACTTTATTAATTTATGATGTAAAATTGATGCAGGAAGGCAGAATGAAGGGCCAAGCATTTATTACTTTGCAAAATGAGACACAAGCGGCACTAGCACGGAAAGAAACGAATGGTTATATTTTAAAAGACAAACCTATGGTTGTAGTTTTTGCTCGGTCTGCTAAAGCAACATGAATAAACAAATTGAAGTACACAAACTTGTTTTAATAGTAGAAAATTAAGATATTCAAAATATTATGCATGTATTATTTAGAATTTATATATAAAAGTACGGACTTATAATGTATATATATATATATAAAGTTATGAACATAATTTCTTAATTAAATTTAAATAAATATTTTGGCACAATAGTCCTAAATAATATATTTACAAATTTAAGACTAGAATAAGCAAAGTTCTAAAATTTACTGTTTCTAAGAAACAAAAAAGATTTTTATATACAAATATTTACCTAAATTTTTATATAAATAGAATAAATAATTTATGTTGATGCAGTTTTTTAAAATTATCCAATTATTATATAAGACCAACTTCTAAATTAAAATCTTGTTTGCTTTGATCATTGTTTTTATAGAACAGAGTCTTAGATATATCTATCTAATTAATTAATTTAACTTAGCTAAATTTACTGTCCAATTATCACAATATATACCTGTATCTCTTCCCATCCCTTCCTAATAATATCCTCCTGCAGAATAAGGATGAAAAGCAGCTCCCCCATTAACACCAACCCCGACAACATTCTGAGACTGAAACCCTACAGCCCCGCTTGCATGATAATTGGAAAACACGCCTCTCGGTGGAGATACACCACCCAAAGCACCTATCACACTAGATGTTGACGACACTGGATTAACATTGACCTCCTGACTTGAACTGACATCAACAATATCCACAGTCGATGCAGAACCTGCAGTTGTTGAAGCAGGGACTGCGGGGGATGCCAATAACCGATGATGAGACATTGATTGGTGGTGGTGGTGATGGTGATGGTGCGTGTGGGAGTGGTGGTCTAGAAGTATGTGTACAGGGTCCGGGAGTAATCTGAAAAAATAGTAGTAGGGTTTCAGTATTTTAGGAATATTATTTTGTTTTATTAAATTAAATCTATGTGGGTACCTGTTTGCTGTAAGACTGTGTTCAGCAGCTAATAATCTGGAGGCAGTATGATGCGTGACGTCACCAAATGATGCACTTGTTGATGCAGCATGATGATGATGGTGTAAAGCTCGAGGGAGACCCATTGGGTCAACACCATGACGTCTAAAAAATGAATAATAAAATGATAGCTTCTTACAAATTCTTAATATTGCTCCATCAATAACTACCACACAAATGATATAATAGTAAGATAAACAAACTATAAATTGTATAAACTCTTTTTTAATTCTTATACTGACCCATTAGTTAGATCCAAAGACACTGCGGCCCTCAAAACATCTGTATAAGACGGTGTTCCAGTATTATTGAGCGGAGTTAAACTCAAATCACTCCTATTTATACCCAAATCAGGCCTATTTAATCCCAAATCACTCCTAGTTAAACCAAGATCATTCCTATTTAACGACAAATCATCTCTGTTCACTGCCAAATCATTTCTATTCAATGTTAAATCTCTTGTGTTCAAACCCAAATCAGTTCTGTTCAATCCTAGATCATTTCTATTCAGATTCAAATCATTTCTTGTAAGATTCAAATCACTTCTATTTAAATTAACTCATTTCGTGTAAAACTTAAGTTGATATCATTTCTGTTTAATGTGAGATCATTTCGGGTCAATGCAAGTTCATTGCTATTTAAAGACAACTCGCTTCTGTTCAATATCAGTTCAGTTCTATTTAAACCTAATTCACTTCTGCTTAAATTGAGATCGTTTCTGTTAAGATTTAAATCATTTCTACCTAGTGTTAAATCAGATCTATTCAAACTCAAATCGTTTCTATTTAATCCTAAGTCATTTCTGTTTAAAGTTAAGTTCAAATCATTTCTGGCCATGGTCAGGTCCACGCTCTGCCTCTCACTGCCCATTACGGTTGAAGACATTGTTCCAGCAACATCGTACAAATGATGG